CCTTAGGCTGTATTTTGACGGCCTCAGGACAGTGAACAGTGTAACCTTCATCTTTGATAAGTTCACATTTGGAAGTGGCCATAATGTTTTGATAATTCCGCTGTTGTTTCCTGACCTTAAGAGGCATCAGAACATTTCAATTAGAGACTTTATCCTCAGTAGAGCCCAACTGATCAATCAGCAGGTCAATCTCATTACAGATCTGCAGTGTGAAACTTTACCTCGTCCAGACTGATGTTGCACGGCAGGAGAATCACGTTCAGTTTTTGTATTTCTGTCTCTGGGTTTGGTGGTCCGAGGAACAGCAGAACTTGGCCACTAACTGGTTTCATCCACAACCTCATAATGTCCCAGATCAGGCCGAAGATAGAGAGGTGATGCACTTCCACAATGACATGAGTATCTGTAATCTGCAGCGGCTCCAGGATGCTCATTCCATCATCAGTGATGTGGACGACAGACAACAGACCATCAGGCAGAAGAGCTGTGAAAACACAGAGCAGTTAGACTTTTGTTTTACTGATGAAAACCTCAGTGCAGTGTAAGACCTACCCTGAGGAACATTTTGATTACTGATTTTGGACAATGATGATCACAGGGAGGTAAGTGGAGGCAGGTGTTTCAATCAATAGGATGAGAATCCAGTGAGTCTAGCTATCCCAGCCCCACTGAAAGAATATAAACGTGGGTCTTCACTATCAAAGTCACCAGAGCTCAGACAAAAAGTTGTTGATGGCTCTCTGCAGCGTGTAGGGGGCACGAACCAGACTTTACAGTTTTATCATTCCTCTCACAAAACTTTGCACTCACAAAGCACAATAACATCCTTACCATCCACATCCATTGTTTCACAGTGTGGGAGGTGGAGCTGACAGAGAGCAGCAACCTCTGAACACTTGATATCGAACAGCAGCCCTGCAGGCGTCTTTCCAGCTGATTGGAGGAGGCTCTCATCCCATTGGACCGTCCTGTAAAGCAGCTCCACCTCCTGAGCCACAACAAACACCAGTCCAGTAAAAGTACACTGGAACAAACCTGGACCAGGACACCTGAACCTGTAGGACACAGAAGGGTTGATTACTTCAAGCTTTCATCCTGTTGGCTTAGTTTTGGATCTGCCGCTTTCATGGCTAAACCGTACACTAAAATATGTTTGTGAAAAGACTTGAGGAGAGAAACAGTCAACACAGTAACAGAATTTTGACTCATATTTGATCAGCACTGCCTAGTTTGACAGTTTGATCTGAGTTTTCATGAGCCTGCTGAGGACTCAAGGACTCACACAGGAAACAGAACAAAGGAACAGACTTTGGGATGCAGAATTAAATGCACATTAATACATACATACAATACAGAATAAACTACATTTAAATGCTGAGAAATGTTTTCTGTCATTTCTGGACGTAACTTGGCAACTTTTCTTGCTTGGCTTTCCCAACTTTTCAGACCCTCTAAGTGACTTTATTTCTAAAGAAAATTTATTCAGACTTATTCACCAGACCAGACAATCAGGGAAAAGTCAGTAAACATATGCAGATATATAATATTATATATAATAATAATAATAATAATAATAATAATATAATATAATTAATATCCATGCATGAGTAATCACAAAGCTCTTCTTTTCCCTCTCTCCTCTTGCACCATGTGCAGGCAGTCAGTAGGTGGGGCAGGTAGGTTGAGCAGAGACTCTCTCTTCTCTCCGGAGCTCTGGATTAGGATGTTCTTATAGCTTATAAATATATTAATCATTTGTTTGTTTGTGTAAATCTCTCTCTCTCTCTCTCTCTCTCTCTCTCTCTCTCTCTCTCTCTCTCTCTCTCTCCCATGCTACAACCGACAATATTCTAATGCTTTATGTAAAGGAAGCTGTTGGACCAGCTAGCTAAACTGAAGAGGTTGAACATTTAGTGTAGGAGGTGATGAGGTCGAAGTATTCTGCATTTTATGATCTGGTTACCTGTATGAACTCTTTCCAGACTCAGTCAGCAGTTCTGGTGTGAAGCTTAACTTGTCCTAAAATTGAAAAAGGCACAAACTTAGTTAATGAAACTGGACTGGAGAGTTAATTAGAACACATTGAGATGGGAGCAGAAACTGGCTACAGGTGACAGGATCCTCACTGCTTCACTTTCTACTCTACGTAAAGCCTGCAGGACTACGTTGGACAGCAGCTGGTAGTTTAATATTAGTAGAATTTAGAAGGTCAGAAATATTCAACCCTGGAGGGGGTCTAAGGAACCAGAGTCTGATCACTGACAGATGAATAAAAATGTTAAAGTTAAAAACTGACATTTGTATTCAGACCCTCTCCACACACAAGCTGCTGCTGCTTCAGTGTCTCTGGATCATCAGGACACAGCTGATCCTCTTCATCCACACTCTCCTCTCTGCTGTCCTCAGACACATCCAGGACTGTGCTTGATGTGGACGGATCTGGTGGGTGATTAGAACCATCGCATGGGGACAAGAAGACACACAGCAGATGTCAAACTCACTTTGTGACATCCTGGTGACCCAACATTCATAAAACCTGAAACAGCAACGTCTCCAGTTCAAGACAGGCCCTCTGTAGCATATCTTTCCCTTCATGTTTCCTGTTGTTATCTACTGACAAACCCAATAGAGTCCAAATGTAAAGAAAATAATGTGAACAGTTCAAGACCAGGTCCAAAGGGGATAAATATCAAGTTAAAGTCCATACAATACAATGTATACAAAAAACACAAGGACTGAGATTGAAGACATTCTTTCAGTGACATCCTCTTCCCCAACATGGAGAACAAAAGATCTGCAGTGGTTATTGGGATTAACCAGCACCATGAAGCCCACAGCAGCCAATCTCCCAGTTATGCTTTAATACCAGTTTAAGTTTCTTTAATACATCCAGTGGGTGTTTACTCACATCCTTCATGTTTATGAGGTGTAGCCCTGTATTCTCTGTTGCTCATCCTGTAGGAATAAACACAAATACAACAGTTATCTCTCATGAAGAGAGTGAGGCTGTAATTACACACAGTGGAGCTTGGAGCTAAGCGCTAACATCAGCATGTAAACATGCTCACAATGACAATGCTGACATACTGATGTTTACCAGGTGTATTGTAATTGTTCACCATCTTACTTTACTGGCAAGTGTTACACACCGACTCATACCACTGAAAAACTGAGCTGAAAAAACAGAAAATAAAATCTGATCCAAGTTCACCAAAATCACTGAATAAAGTTATAAACTTGTGCTTTTGTACAGTAATCAGTGAGGCCCGGCGCCCTGAAACACTCTTCTCCGGTTGCATCCTTCATGAACCAGTGTTCACTAACACCGGGTACAGACATTCAGCAGGCTTCAGTCAGCCAATCAGAGGACAGTGGGCTTTAGGAAGGGCGGGACTTAAAGAGACAACTTGTTTCAGACAGATGATGAACTGAGGGGCTGCATGAAGGGCCAGTATCAGATCAATAAAGATGTTTCTGAAGAGTGAATCATACAAAGCTACTCTAGTGGAGTTTCAGACTGAGAATAAAGAGCTGGACATTCAAAGTCACCAAAGTTATTATAATTCATCCTGAGGGGAACATGAATGTCTGAACAAACGCAATATATATATATATATATATATATATAATAATATATCCAACAGACAGACAGACAGACACACAGACAGACAGACAGACAGACAGACAGACAGACAGACAGACAGACGGCTCCTGTGTATGTCTCTGTGTGTGTGCCCTGTCACTCACTGTGTGTGTTTTGTCTTGAGGATGCCAGAGGAGCTGATTTAGTATATCCACTTCTATCTGGTGCTTGCCGGATATAAAAGCTCCAGCTTCCTGCGTGGCTCTCTGTTACGTTTTGCCTCTGCTCTGTCTTGTGACCTGTTCCAGGTGCTGCCCTCCCTCCGACTGGTCAGGCATACCTGCAGTAGTTTAGCAATCAGGCCAATTCCCTTAAAGCTGCTGTGACGGAATCAGTCATGTGCTCGTCATATGTGTGTTATCATTACTCCCTCAGTGGTGGGATAGCGTTATTCACATTTATTTGTTGTCTCAGTGATTTGTTTAGTTTGTGGTTTTTTACTTCCTTTCTTTTTAGGAAGTTGTTTTGTGTTAACATTTAACTCATTTACGTTTAAATAAATAGTTTAATAGTAAAAATCTTTCTGTTTCCTTTCTTTCTTTAAACACCCGGGAATTATTAATTCTTGCGCCCCTCTTCCCCTGGACCCACAACTGAGTTCATAACTGTCTGTCTGTCTGTCTGTCTGTCTGTCTCTCTCTGCCAGTTATTTGACTTTTTACTCAACACCTCATCTTTCACTCACACTCACCCACACCAACACCAGTGATATTACAAACAACATCATCTCATATTTCAAGTTGCGTTTAAGTTATTCTTTTCTGTTCCAATAAATATTCATTATTTTTTGCAAAGCTGTGTCTTTCCCACTTTTTGTCAGGACATATGTGCCAATGGGGTGTAACAGAGTTAAAAATGCACTTTATCCATTCTCACAGGGATAGAAACTGCTCTGGTCGGTCGGGGCGTAAATGAAGTGATTGAATGATGACAGTAAGATGGAGAATGGTCTGTAGACCAATTACAACTCACTTATTGTCTGGACTCCAGCCAATGAGTTGAACGTTGAACACTGAAGAAACAATACATTGCTTATAAACTTAACAAGAATTGATCATTTATAGCCAATAGTCAGACATACAGTCATACAGTTAGACTGGTCAGAAAAGGCTCTGCTGTTCTCAGTGAGGAGGAGAACTAATACACTGTACACCTGTATGAATATGATTGGATGTTACTGGTCAGCTGGTAGTTGAGAAACTGATGGATGAGCCACTGATGTCAATCAGATACTGAAAATGTGAGTTCAATGTTCAGCCTGAACAAACACAATCTCCTCTCATACCTTTAAATCTTATTGAGCAGAGCCGTCAACAATGGGCTCATCAGCATGGACTCACTTCAACTAACTACAAACCTCAGAGTCTCCAGTCTACAGTGTGGACTCTCCAGAAAACCACACAGCAGCTTCACTCCTGAATCCTGGAGGTTGTTGTTACTCAGGTCCAGCTCTCTCAGATGGGAGGGGTTGGACTTCAGAGCTGAGACCAGATAATCACAGCTGATCTCTGACAACCAGCAGTTCCACAATCTGAATAAAGAATGAAAGATGTGAGTTTCTGCAGGTTGCAAACTGTAAAATACAAAGAGTGAAAAAGAGCTCTCATTAATATTAATGACAACGTGCTGCTGCTTCAATAAAGACGTAGTGACTTCAGCTCTTAACCTCTGCCAGCTCCACCAGTGGCTCCATCTATACAAACTCATGTTGTGCAGCCAAACACAAAGAAAAACCCACAGAAACTGATTGAAGGTTCCACTCAAGATCCCAAAGTTTACAAAGATACTAAATATGTCAGGATGGATTTTGGGATAAACTCAATAAATTGAACCCAGTGAAATTGCCTTCTAGATTTGGGAGATTCATACATTGAACAATTGTGTTTTCTATATGGACACCTTAAAATAAATCTACATAAAGAGTTGTATACAGTATTAAGTGGCTTGAGATAGGTATCTGTAGTGTTTTGATAGACAATGTCAGAATAATCAATAATAGGCAGAATCAACAGAGAAATGATTCTTTGTCTGAGCTGAAGTGTAAAGCACTTAATAGACCAATAAAGTGAAGCCAGGCAACCACATGTTCTTTTTATAATCAAATCAATGAGGGCTTAAAGGAGAGTTCGGGTCTATTCTATTCGAGTCCAACATATTTAATCAATCAACTTTAACATCAAAAATATTATTATTATTATTATTATTTTCTTTGTGTGTATATGTATATATATGGAGAGAGATATATAGGCCATTGATAATGATGGGGAGTGGGTCTGGATGAGCTTGGCTGGGGGGGTTGTGGGCAGTGACTCCCTGATTGGTCCTGTGGGGGTGTGGTGGGGCTCAGGTGGGGGCGGGGCTGGCAGGACCTACCCTCTAACCTAAAGTAACACAATAATGTTCATAATAATAATAATAATAACAATAATGTTCATAATAATAAAAATGTTAATAATAATAATAAAAATAACAACAGAAATATAAAATAGTGTCTGACCTCAGAGTCTCCAGTCTACAGTGTGGACTCTCCAGAAAACCACACAACAGCTTCACTCCTGAATCCTGCAGGTTGTTCCAACTCAGGTCCAGCTCTCTCAGATGGGAGGGGTTGGACTTCAGAGCTGAGACCAGATAATCACAGCTGATCTCTGACAAACTGCAGCCCCTCAATCTGAATAAAGAATAAATGATGAAGATAAAATCATTTCTAATCCAATCAGATGTGTTCAGGTTTTAAATGTGGAGATCAACATTACTATGTCCTAATCAATGAGCTTTTCTCTAAAATGAGTAGAGTGACTTTGTCATTGTGTTCACTTTTGTCTTTGTCACATTTTTCCACCTGTGATTCTGTTTCATCAGCAGGTGAGCCGCGTGTGGAGGAGGCTCGTTGTTAATGACGTAGCCAATCAAAACGATGGAAACCAACGTGGTAACCAATGACAACGGCACCAGATAATAATAATAATAATAATAATAATAATAATAAAAACAACAATAATAATAATAATAATGTCCCAATTGTTGAGTTCTTTAAGTCTTGGACTCCAAAGCAGAGATGCACACACACTGGTGAGTGGGAACTGAAGATTCTTTAATAACAATCCAAACCAAAACCAGAAACAGGAGCGGGCAGGAGAGGCAGGGAGCTGGCTGGCAGGTGGAAGTCTTCTGCAGTATTGCACAGGCAAATCTTGACACAGGTAACATAGAGTGAGAGCATGGAATATTCTGGTAGCCCGGTCAGTAAAGACCGGGCTAATGAGGTGGAGGGAATAGGCTGTGTGAATTCAGGTGTGTCTCTGCTGCCAACAGGAGGAGCCAGCCACACCCCCTGCCCCACACAAGCTCTGCAAGAGAACAGAAAAGGGAGGGGGAACAGAGAGAGGACAAAAAGAAAAGCACAACAACAAAGACATACTAAGCCAAACCATAACACCAATGTAGCTTCCAGCCGTATTGCTGGGGGGGCTCGATGGTGAGCCTGGCCTCCTCACTGTCCTATTAGAAATATAATTAAATGTAAAGTATTTGAATGATTATTATAATATTATTAATTAATAATATTGAATTACTATATGACCATATTATTTTGTTCCACTTTACTTCTGTAGTTATTTACTGACTACATGATACAATTATTGGCATAATAATATTAACACTATATGTACATATATACTTATATATATATATTATGTTATTCTTCCTGTTCATACCTTACAGACACCCATATTGCCCATACTAACCCTGTTGTTGTTTATGTTGTCTTTGTTTCATGTTTTGTCTTCCTATATGTTGTTTGTATGTGGATTCAGTTTGATGTCATACAGTAAATGAAAGATTATTTATAAAAGGATGAATTTTGGGGAAATGTGAACAAATAACAAACAAAATGTTGGAAAAAGTAAAAAGTGAATCTATTTGTTATTGTCTGATAGTTGAAATAGAGATTATTGATTTATTCATTGTATTCATTGTCATCATTTCTTTTAAAACACATGATAGGGAATATAAAATGGAAATAAAGAGGGATTCAGTGTAGATTCTTCTTGTTGTATTCAGGTTTTAAATGTGGAGCTCAACATTGCTCTGCCACAGTCAATGGACTAAACCACTGAAGAAGAAAACAGACTTTAGCATTAAGATACTCAGTGTGGATCAGTATAATATCAGCCTTATGTCTGCACTTTACTGTCAGCACAACTTTCACATCATATTAATCTCAGCACAGAAGGAAAAAATGGTGTCTGACCTCAGAGTCTCCAGTCTACAGTGTGGACTCTCCAGAAAACCACACAGCAGCTTCACTCCTGAATCCTGCAGCTTGTTGTTACTCAGGCTCAGCTCTCTCAGATGGGAGGGGTTGGACTTCAGAGCTGAGACCAGATAATCACAGCTGATCTCTGACAAACTGCAGCTCCTCAATCTGAATAAAGAATACAATATGAAGATAAAATCCTTTATAATCCAATCAGATGTGTTCAGGTTTTAAATGTCCAGATTAACATTACTATGTCCTAATCAATGAGCTTTTCTCTAAAATGACTAGAGTGACTTTGTCATTGTGTTGGCTTTTGTCTTTGTCACATTTTTCCACCTGCTGGATGGTGAGGGGCCTATATAAACACTTTTGGCATATATTATCCTCCCTATTTTACAAACTAACATAAAAAATTCAAAAAACATCACAAATTCCTCCACACATGCATACATCTGTTATATCAGTTCTACTCAAACCCAATAAAGACCCAACGCAACCTTCCAGCTACCGCCCGTTATCACTTATAAACACAGACTTAAAAATCATCACCAAAGCTCTAGCGGTCAGAGTAGAAACAGTTATCTCCACGTTAATACACCCCGACCAGACAGGATTTATTAAGAAAATCCATGGCTCTGACAATTTACGAAGATTATTCAACATCATCAATCTTGCACAACAAACTCAAACCAAAACAATATTCGTATCACTAGACGCACAAAAAGCATTTGATCAAGTAAACTGGACTTTTTTATTACATATATTGTATAGATTTGGTTTTGGGGAGTCGTTCATCCATTGGATTAAAACACTATACACCTCACCTAAAGCTACTGTCACCACAAATGGGATCACGTCACACAGCTTCACACTTCACCAGGGCACCAGGCAAGGATGCCCACTCTCTCCATCTTTATTCGCTATCTTCATAGAACCACTTGCTGCCGCTATACGTCAAAACAATATCATCAAAGGAGTTGACACTACAAACCACCAGCACAAAAGCCTTTACACAGATGATGTTTTATTGTACTTACAGGACCCATTACCGTCACTAAAAGATCTTTAATCTTATTAACATATTTTAAAAAATATCCAACTACACAATTAACTGGAAGTCCACTATACTACCACTCTCAGAAGATGCTTGGGATTCTGCAGGACAAAACTTCTCACCTTCACTTCACACTGAGAATATTAGATATTTAGGTATTGACATTTCCCCCAGGCTGACAGCATGTCGTTTGAGGAAAATGTGGCTAACACGGTTTCCAAAACTGTTACTGAAAAGATTGCCGCTCTCATGGAGCAGAAGTTTACCGAACTACACTCTATTCTGGACAAGCTAAGAAGCCGTGTCGAGGACAACACTAAGCGAATAACTGAGACTGAGAACCCCATCTCTGATGGCGAGGACCGAACAACCACTCTGGAAAACAAGCTAGCCGAACTTGAACAACGAGTAAAGATCTTGACTGACCGGGCCGAGGACAGCGAGAACAGGAGCCGCAGAGATAATATACGCATTACGCATTATGGACCTCATCCCTCTGAGCTTACTTTCAGAGCTACAAGATGTGAGTGAGGCCCTCTCCCCTGATTTGGTACAGGTATCTGTCGTTAATTGTTAACGCTTTCATTTTACTATTTTCCCCTTATATTATTTTTATTTAGATATCCTGGATTTACACAGTATATTGATATTTTGGCTCTGATCGACACCTGCTACAGCTGTCAGTGCGATTCTTGCTCTTTTTTTTGTATTTATTTACTTGCCTATTTTTTTTCTGTTATGGACACATATGCTCAGGTAATATGCCCATGTTGTTTCTCAGTGATTATCTAGAGACTATGGTTTAATCACATTAGCTGTCCGGCTGGGACGCGGAGGGTTGCGGAGAACAAGCATCGGCAGTGGGAGGCAAGCGGACATTCCTGCGGCTGGTGTGTTTTTTTCTCTCACAGGTGGGAGGATACCTCTCTGCCTCACCTGCCCTAAGACTTTTAACACCTTTGTAAGGATGTTCTTTGTTCTTGTTTTCTTGTTTGCGGGGCTCTATTTTGTTCATGGTTCTGAGCCTCCTTTTGGGGAGGGGTTTCTACAGACAGCCGTACTTATTGTGTTATTTTCATTCTTACAGTGTAGGTTTAGCTCCAGTCCTTTACTGATTACCAGGTCAGATACTGCCTTTTTTCTTAATGTTTCATGTATAGAATACATCCAACTATATGAAGGGCTTAATTTTCCATTAGTGGCCTTAAGGTTGTTTCACTTAATGTGAAGGGTATTAACCATGTCATCAAACGCCAGAAAATCTTGTCCTTCCTTAAAAAATGCCAAATAGCCTTTCTCCAAGAAACCCACCTTTTGGACCTGGAACATATAAAACTGAGGAGAAACTGGGTGGCCAGGTGTTCTACTCTTCTTATAACTCGAAAAGTAGAGGGGTTGCAATTCTCCTACATCGCTCCCTGCCTTTTACTCTTGATAAGACAATATCAGATAAGGATGGACGTTATGTACTTCTGTCTGGTTATCTTTACGGAGAACATGTAGTTTTTGGATGTATATATACCCCAACAATATATGAAACCTCTTTTATCCCACAGCTTATTTCAGATTTGGCAACATTTTCTTCCCCATACTTACTTCTAGGAGGTGACTTTAATTGTACACCTAACCCGAATATTGATATATCTCCCCCAAACTACTCTCTCCAAGAAAAGTACAAAAATGGGTGAATTTTGTAAAGATTTAGATTTGTATGATGCTTGGAGGGTACTACACCCCCTAGATAAAGACTACACATTCTTCTCAATTCCCCAACAGGTTTTTTCCAGAATAGACTACTTCTTGTCTTCAAGAACAGTTTTGGGTAGAATACTGAACTGTACAATTGATACCAAGTTTCTTTCTGATCACTCACCTATCAGTGTAACTATCACTCCTCCTTATCGGGATCCAGCCTGCAGGCACTGGAGGCTTGACCCTACTCTACTAAGTAACCATTCTTTTATTGAGTATATTACATCTGAGTGGCAGCAGTTCATCTCTATAAATAAAACCCCAGATGTTAGTCCTTCTACATTGTGGGAAGCTGGCAAAGCATATATACGTGGGGCTATTATATCTTATACGTCGGCACGGAGGAAAGATGCCCTTAAAAGACAGTTGGATTTAGAGAAGACAATAGATAACCTGGAAGCTCAGTTTAAGAAATCTTACAGCAGCTCTCTGGCGAAACAGCTGGACGCACCTCACTCTGCCTTAAATCAGCTCTAAACCAGAAAAGTGGAGACACATTCTTTTTGCTAAACATAGACAGCAATGCCGAGATCAGGCAATAAACCAGGCCGGTTGCTAGCTCGCCTTGCCCGTGGTAAAACTGAGCCCAATGTAATACCTTCTCTCATAGACAGAAATGGAGTGAGGCACCTCAAATCACCTGATATAAATGAAGTAATGAAACTGTTTTATAAAGATCTCTGTAGCTCCGAATGCACATCTTCTTCTAAGACTAGAGCAACATTTCTTAATAAGATAAAATTTCCGTCTCTCTCAGACGCACAAAAAGCAGATTTATGCAAGCCAATCAGTAAAGAAGAAGTCTTACAAGCCATACGCACTCTTAAGGGAGGTAAAGCTCCAGGACCAGACGGTTTTGGCCCTGCATTTTACAAAACATTCAGTCAGGAAATAGTCGGTCCCCTTACAGACATGTATTTAGACTCCTTTACTAGGGGTTGCCTCCCCCTACATTGGGCATCGCTAATATCTCAGTTATTCTGAAGAGGGATAAGCCTTCTGATGTGTGGTTCCTATAGACCAATCAATTTAATTTCTGTAGACAGCAAACTGCTGTCAAAACTCCTGGCCAGACGCCTGGAGACATTACTCCCCCACACTTATAAATCCAGATCAGACGGGCTTTGTTCATGGACGCTATTCAACCAGCAATGTGAGAAGGCTCTTGAATATTATACAATTTACCACACAATGCAAGCAGAAGGCACTAGCCGTCTCTCTGGATGCAGAAAAGGCCTTCGATAGGGTTGAGTGGGGCTATCTGTTTGAGGTTCTGGGGAGATTTGGTTTGGGGGGGGACTTCCTTTAATGGATCCAAACCATATATCACTTGCCTACAGCTGTTGTCATAACTAATGGGCAACGTTCTGAACCCTTCCCAATAGCAAGAGGTGTCCGCCAGGGGTGCCCTCTCAGTCCGCTCCTCTTTGCCTTAGCATTAGAACCATTAGCCAAAACTATTCGACTACATACCGACATAAAGGGAATAACAATAAGACATAAGGAACACAAAATTGCCTTGTATGCAGATGATATCCTTGTGTTTTTGTCCTCCCCTCAGCTATCAAGTGCTGCAATTATGGATATTTTTAATAAGTTCAGTAACATATCTGGCTACAAAATTAATTTTAGTAAATCTGAAGCTATACCACTGGGAGCCCTGAATACTACAGAGGTTCCGGAGAACTTCCCTTTCAGATGGTCAAGATGGTCCCTGTTTGGTCGAATCAGCCTCATTAAGATGAATATGCTCCCTCGACTCTTATATCCTTTGCAAATGCTCCCCTTATATCTATCAAGGAAAATCAACCTAGACTTAGAGAAGGCATTTTCCAAATTTATTTGGCAAGGCAAAAAACCTAGGCAGAGGCTTAAGATATTACAATCACCTACAGACATGGGTGGTCTTTCTATGCCTAATACGGCATGATATATCTAAATACCTGGGAAGGAAAACTGTGAAGTCTTTACTGTCTCCCATAACTCAAAATCCTCACTCACGTTCCTCTCTTGGAGGGACAAGGGAATTCATGTGATTGGCGATTTATTGAGAGATAATACCTTACTGTGCTTCCAGCAGCTACAGGAGACATTCAACATTCCCAGGCACCATTTTCTGGGGTATTTACAGATTAGGCACTTTGTGTCTTCACAGACCACCTCTTTCTCTACTACCATCTCCTACAGTGATGCTGAGAGATTTCTTCTAGAGCACAAAAACTGAAAACATTTTATAGCATAATTTTACTCACTTCTTGGTTCTTCCCTCTCATACCATTTACCAGACATCTCTCATAGATGGGAAAAAGACTTGAACAATGAATATATTGAGGATGATTGGCAGGCAACGATACGCCTTATCAGGTCCACATCTACTTGTAACGGGTTGAGAGAAACTCAGTACAAGATACTTCACAGGCTGCATATTACTTCTGTTATTTTAAACAAAATTGACCACTCCATTTCTCCTCTGTGTAACAAGTGCAACTTAGAAAGGGGGACGTATTTTCATTACTTCTGGGAATGTAAACTGATTTCCAGATTTCAAAAGTAGTCAGTGGGATATTTAAAATAAAAATTAAGAAAGACCCTGGTGTTTTCCTCCTAGGCCTTCCCTCTGGGGACTTGCATCTCACTGCATCACATTATAAGCTCTTTGAAAAACTCCTTCTAGTTGCTCGAAAATGTATACTGAAAAACTGGATCAAAACTCTTCCACCTAGTGTCACCCTTTGGTACAGGGAGGTCTTTAATATCCTCCCTCATGAAAGGTTACAAGCTGTTGTAAAGGGTAAGGATGAGATATTTTTTTTAATTTGGATGCCCTTCCTATATACCTGCAGATCTGAAAAATCTGCTATTGAGGGGCAGACAGTTTTCTGATTGGAATAAGACCTCCCCTTGCAACTCTCAAATTGAGGGACCCAGATAGGCTGCCGATGACTGGTTACCCTCAACTCATGATTACATACTGCGGACTGGAAACAAACTAGAACTGTACTTTTTCATTATATGTCATTATGAATTATATATTATTAAAAAAACTAGATGTATTATACCACTCAGCCTTGCATTTCATTACAGGTGCAGCAGCCAGAACTCACCACTGCATTCTGTATGAAACTGTACTACGGTCCTCCCTCTCCCTCAGAAGGAAATTCCATTTATTGATTTTCATTGCTAAAGCTCTAATGGGCAAATTACCCCTCTACATTTCAAATTTGCTTTCTTACCATAATAGTGTTTACAGGACAAGGTCGTCAGAAAAAATACTATTAGTTATTCCATCAACAAGAACAGAACTTGGTAAAACAGCTTTCTCATCATATGCACCAAATGTCTGGAATGAATTTCAAAACACCCTAAATCTAGGATCACTTCCACCTTTCAATACTTTTAAAAACCTTTTAAAGTCAACTCAGACAAAACAGTGTAATTGTTTTTAACGAGGTGCCCTTTAAGTTGTATGTCTGTGTTAGCTTGAGTTAAGTGTAATGTCTTGTTTGTGTTCTAGTACGTATAGTGCATGTACAGAGATTTGTGGTGTAGTATGTAACCTTTGTCCTGTCTTTTATGCAGATTTTTTGAAACTTTTTGCCGCCAGTCTTGGCCAGGACTCCCTGGGAGAAGAGTTACTGTAACTCAATGGGACTTTTCCTGGTTAAATAAAAATAAATAAATTAATTAATATTACTATTATTATTATTATTATTATTATTGTCTTGGTCATTATGACTACTTTCACCTTTTTTTATTTTTATTTTAAAAACATTTTTCTAACTCTGTGTAGCATGTGTTGTCTAATGGGTCGGGCGGGGGGGTCTTGTTCCTGTGTTTTGTATTATCTCTGCTTAAAAACAATAAAATGTGTTAATGTGTTATCTTATTTATTTATCATATCATCATTATAACTATAGTTTCTTATTTTTATTTTTTTTCTTAACAATAATCCCGATAATGACATAATATAATAAAACTAGAAAATTCCTAAAGAGATTTTGATTGTGCGTTGCTCGTATGTTAATACCACGTCTTACTCTCTAGCACGCCAGTGCTAGCTTATTAATGCCATGTCAGCCTCTGTAGCTAGCTCGTGTGTGTGTGTGTGTGTGTGTGTGTGTGTGTGTGTGTGTGTGTGTGTGTGTGTGTGTGTGAGCAGGCTTTAGTTGTCATGGCAATCAGGGGAGCCCACAGCAGCTGCGGCGTGCTCTCTCTCTGTCTCTAACTCCTCAGAGAGACAGAAAACATTTAAAATGAATCCCCTCGAACCCATGGCCAGGAACGACCAAAATGAAAACCGAAAAGACCGTGAGCGTCGTCATCTTGTTGACTATAGCACTGCCGAGTTTCTATCTATAAATTATTTCTGTAGAGTGACATTTGTGGCCTTGAGAGCAGTTTACAAATTTATTTTTCCACAAATTTTTCTCTCTCCCCACACTCTAGTGATGATGTCACGCACTCTGGCAGTTGAACATTCTACCAATACACACCCATTCATTTTTTGGACCGGTTTTTGGCGATTTACCGGCAAACCGTTTGGCGAAACGCTTAGAAAAGTCATAGCACTAATGTCCTCACCGAGCCGCACGTTTTGATACCTTTTTTGTGTACGTGCGACAAAAGCTGCGGGAGGAGTAGCGCGCCGAAAAACATACAGAAAAATAATAAGCCCGAGGGAGAGTAGTATTGTGCTTGCTTATGCAAGGCACAATACTAAAGGCGGAGGGGTGGGGTCGGACTGGATTGGTTGAGGGTGGAGGTGAGCAGGGGCTCCATGCCTGGTTCTCTTGGGGCATGGCTGGGCCTCGGGTGGGGGCAGGTGGGGCGTAGTGAGGGGGTCTCTTTCAACAAAAGGAAAAAAAAAAACACTCCTCAGCAGGCAGACCACCTCCCATGTTGCCCAAACCAGGAAGTGGCACAGGAGATCAGATTTGCAACGGGCCAGCAGCTACCTTCGGGTTCGGCTGCGGCCCAAGGTACAATCAAAAAAATTAAATAAAATAAAAATAAAAATAAATAATATATTGCATATATAAGCAATATATTATTATCATCGCAATACAAACTATTAATTATAATTCTAATAATTAGTCTTATGATAGTCATTGTCATGATATATTGGTTTACATTAGGTTATGTTTACATATCTGTGTATATATGTATATCTGTTATACCATATGATCTTATATTATGTTATTATATATTATATTGTGCTACATTACATCATGCTATATTATATTATAATGTCTCGTATTGCCCTGTATTACCTTATCTTAGGTTAAATTATATTGCACTATACTATGTTAATGTATGCCGTATCGTATTGCAGATTATTACTATTCATTTATTTATTTTCTCTTTTTCTTTCCTCTTCCTTCTCTTCTCATATTTATACTTTTTACTTTATTTACTTATTTATATTTATTGTATCATCTATCTTTGCCATATTATGTGTGTATATAATACCATACCATCTGCCTCTCATCCACATGCACGCACGCGCCACACACACACACACACACACACACACACACACACACACACACACACACACACACACACACAGACACACATCTATACTACTATTGTCCCCCATGTCACCTTGTCTGTAACTTAATTTCACTAATAAAAAAAACAAAATAAAAAAAACACATGATGGGGAATATAAGATGGAAATAAAGAGTGAATTATCCAGTGTAGATTCTTCTTGTTATATGAAGGTTTTAAATGTGGAGCTCAACATTGCTCTGCCACAGTCAATGGACTAAACCACTGAAGAAGAAAACAGACTTTAGCATTAAGATACTCAGTGTGGATCAGTATAATATCAGCCTTATGTCTGCACTTTACTGTCAGCACAACTTTCACATCAGATTCATCTCAGCACAGAAAGAAAAAATGGTGTCTGACCTCAGAGTCTCCAGTCTACAGTGTGGACTCTCCAGAAAACCACACAGCAGCTTCACTCCTGAATCCAGCAGGTTGTTGACACTCAGGTCCAGCTCTCTCAGATGGGAGGGGTTGGACTTCAGAGCTGAGACCAGATAATCACAGCTGATCTCTGACAAACTGCAGTGACTCAATCTGAATAAAGAATAAAAGATGAAGATAAAATCATTTATAATCCAATCAGATGTGTTCAGGTTTTAAATGTGGAGATTAACATTACTATGTCCTAATCAATGAGCTTTTCTCTAAAATGAGTAGAGTGACTTTGTCATTGTGTTGACTTTTGTCTTTGTCACATTTTTCCACCTGCGATTCTGTTTTTACATCAGCAGATGAGCCGCGTGTGGAGGAGGCTCATTGTTAATGACGTAGCCAATCAAAATGATGGAAATCGGCACCAGCTCATAATAATAATAAAATAACAATGATAATGATAGTAATAAAATAATAATAATACTAACAGAAATAAAAAATGGTGTCTGACCTCAGAGTCTCGAGTCTACAGTGTGGACTCTCCAGTCCAGCACACACCAACAGCTTCACTACTGAATCCTGCAGCTCGTTACCACTCAGGTCCAGCTCTCTCAGATGGGAGGGGTTGGACTTCAGAGCTGCAGCTACAACTTCACAGTGAGTCTCTGAGAGTTCACAGCCAGAAAGTCTGTGATGACAGAGAATATAAAAATTAACTTTATAATAAAATCTGACACTTTATTATAACAATAGACATTTTTCATCACAAAGCACATTAACATGAGCGGCTGTAGCTCAGCTGGTCGGTCAGTCATTGATTACAAGGTTTGAGGTTTGAAACTGGAGCTCCTCCAGTCCACATGTCAACGTGTCCCTGAACAACATAATGGACCACAGACTGTGACTTTAGACAAAAGTCTCTGCCCATTGAAATGTAAACATGTTATATTCTGATTGTGATTTGTGTTTGTTAAACTTTATTTGAACATGATGTTCACTGAGTTGTAAAGTCACTGTAGGTTCAAACTTGTATGTTTTTACCTCAGTCATGTGATTGTGTGGATTTTGTGCATCTTTGATGGATCTTATTATGTAACTCCATCTGCATCTACCATTAAATTAACTTAATGACTACTATTGTATTTATAGTATAATTAGTACTAAACAATATATCATTATACTATATGGATAACGGTTTTTCTCCAGTGGAGTTCAACTGTTGAACAATATAATTTCTTCTCTGAGCTTGGTGATGATAAAATCCCTCCACTGAACTGAACCTACTGAGCTCTCCTTCACTAGCAGAATGAAGCTGGAGGCCGTCCCAGGAGCTGACTGTGTAATGAGCTGCTGTAAATCAGCTGCTAAAAAACACAAAGACTGTGGCTGCAGATTAAATGAAAACCACAGTGGAAGTGTGCGCTGCTATTTTCTCTGCATATCTTGTCTTTAGTGTTATTGTAGTGAAATGGTGCAAAATGAAACACACTGACAGTTTGTGTCTGTAAACTGATTTTACTCTCAATTTCTGATTTGAAGATATGGAATATATCAGTAAAAGTCCATTCAAACACTACCAGAGAGAGAGAGAGAGAGAGAGAGAGAGAGAGCTTCCTGACTGTTTATAAATTAAAATAATTTCTAATGTAGGAAGACTTATGAAAAGACATTTATTGTTATGAACTCAATGTAAAGTTTGGAGAGGGAGATGTTCAGTTTGCTCTTCAAGAGGGAGGATGTCCTCTCCTCAAATCAATCAACAATTATAGATATTCTATAAATTATAAAAATAGACAGAGCAGTCCTTCATATGAAACTGTAGAGTAAAAATATAACAGCAATAATTGCATGAAAGCTAAACTGAAAAATCTTTCAGTGATGTTAGTTCAGCAGATCACAGATATTAGAGGTCAGTGTGTCTGTGTGTAAAAAGAACTAAAACAGACACATTATAGAAACAAACACTGTAAAGTCTAAAACATTAAAAAGTCCTCAAGTTCTTCAGGATTTGTATCAAACCTCGATCACCCAAACAAAGATAGTTAGAAGATGAATGAAGATTATTGTGTTCAATAACTTAATAACTGAAATTATGTTTGTAGTTTAACACATGTAGAATTATGTAAATAAGCAGGTTTATTACTAGTTTATTAAAACCTTTATAATGTAAAAGTTTTATACTGTTATATAATATTAGAAATAATATTGATATATGTTATTATATCTTTAGTACTGATGAATTTAGCTTCATGTTGATTTATATTGTTGTTAATGGACTTACACAGCCTTTCTGCAGTTCCTCACAGCTGGAATCAGTCTTAGTCGTCCTTGCGGTGATGAATTGTACTCCTCCAGGTCCAACTCATCCAGAACCTCCTCTGACATCTGCAGCATGTAGGCCAGAGCTGAGCAGTGGATCTCAGAGAGTTTCTTCTCTGATCTGTTCTCTGACTTCAGGAACTGTTGGATCTCCTGATGGACTGAGTGGTCGTTCATCTCCGTCAGACAGTGGAAGATGTTGATGCTTCTGTCAGGAGAGATATCATCACTGTTCATCTCCTTCAGGTTGTTGATGGCTCTCTGGATGATTTCTGGACTGTTGTCTGTCCGACCCAGCAGGCCTCCTAAGAGTCTCTGGTTGGACTCCAGAGAGAGGCCATGAAGGAAGCGAACAAACAGGTCCAGGTGGCCATTTTTACTTTCAAGGGATTTCTCCATGGTATCTCTCAGGAACACATCCAGAGATGTGTCATGAAGATCATCATGACAGTCTAGGCTATCGTCCTTTTTAAAAAACGTAGAAATTCTCTTGAAAAGAGTCATTGGTTTTGAGTCCCTTCTGTAGTTTTTCCCCAGGAAACCCTCCAGTACCTCTGTGTTCCTGTTGGTGTAACAGTGAAACATGTAGACTGCAGCCAGAAACTCCTGAATGCTCAGATGAACAAAGCAGTAGACTGTTTTCTGGAAGATCACACTCTCTCTTTTGAAGATCTCTGTACAAACTCCTGAGTACACCAAGGCCCCTGTGACATCAAGACCACACTGCTCCAGGTCTTCTTGGTAGAACATGATGTTTCCTTTCTCCAGCTGTTCAAACGCCAGCCTCCCCCAGCTTCAGAAGAACTTCCCTGTCAGCCTCCATCAGCTCCTGTGGACTCTTCTTATGTCCTTCATCATACTTCTGCTTCTTCCTCTTTGTCTGAACCAGCAGGAAGTGTGAGTACATGTCAGTCAGGGTCTTGGGCAGCTCTCCTCTCTGGTCTGTAGTCAACATGTGGACCAGAACTGTAGCAGTGATCCAGCAGAAGACTGGGATTAGACACATGATGTAGAGGCTCCTGGAGGTCTTGATGTGTGAGATGATCCTGTTGGACAGATCTTCATCACTGACTCTCCTCCTGAAGTACTCCTCCTTCTGGGCGTCAGTGAAGCCTCGTACTTCTGTTACCCTGTCGACACATTCAGGAGGGATCTGATTGGCTGCTGCAGGTCTGGAAGTTATCCAGACGAGAGCCGAGGGAAGCAGATTCCCCTTGATGAGGTTTGTCAACAGCACGTTGACTGAAGACTTCTGTGTGACGTCAGACACAACCTCATTGTTGTGGAAATCCAGTGAAAGTCTGCTTTCATCCAGGCCGTCAAAGATGAACAAAAGTTTACAGACAGCGAGCTTCTCTGCTGTGACCTTCTGTAATGTTGGATGGAAAACATGGAGCAGCCTGAGAAGACTGTACTGCTCATCTTTGATCAGGTTCAGCTCCCTGAACGAAAGCAGAACCACCAGACTGACATCTTGGTTTTCCAAACCCTCTGCCCAGTCCAGAGTGAACTTCTGCACTGAGAAGGTTTTTCCAACACCAGCGACACCGTTCGTCAGAACCACTCTGATGTGTCTCTGTTGGTCAGGTAAGGCTTTAAAGATGTCGTGGCACTTGATTGGAGTGTCATGGAGAATCTTCTTCTTGGAAGCTGTCTCAAGCTGTCTCACCTCATGTTGGGTATTAACCTCTTCACTCTGTCCCTCTGTGATGTAGAGCTCAGTGTAGATCCTGTTGAGGAGGGTTCCACTTCCTGTTCCATCAGTTCCTTCAGTCACACGTTCACATCTCGTCTTCAGACTGATCTTATGTTCATCTAAAACCTCCTGCAGACCACTATCTGCTGAAAGAGAAGAAAACATGTGCCACTGAACATAAAATGAGATTCTAGAGGAATAGAAATGTTCAGAATCGATATTCATAATATTTTTAATGTAATTAAACAGAAAGTCTTTTTTCCAGCAATTATAAACATCAGCAGCAAGATTTACAGTCCTACCTTGTACATTGTGTTTTGTTCTGAAACTATCACCACACTGGGGACAGGAGGAGTCTCCTGATGAAGCAGACTGGTCCCAGTATGAGGTGATGCACTGTCTGCAGCTGGTAGAGACTGGATCCTTCAGGACGTCCTGACACAAAGAACAGAAGGACGGCTGCTCCTCCACAGGAACATGACTCCTCTTCCTCTCTCTGTGGAGACTTTTCTTTATAAGTAAAGTGATTTGTTGATTGTTGATGAGAAATATCCAGAGTTGGCCACTGACGCTGTCTGAAAGCTCAGATTGTCACAGAGAACACTAAAAGTGTCGTTGCTTTTCTGTTTTCAGCATTCAGTGTGAAATGAAAATAATTGTTTTTATTTCAACTCTACACTAATTAACAGTTTTTCCTTTCTGTCTGTCTCAATAAACATTTATTGATTGATCTTCACAATAAAAGCCTTCCATTAAAGCAGATGATTATGTCCTTCACTGTTTCAGTCACTTTGGAGAGCTCAGCTTGAGTTAGTAATGATCCAACACTTTCAACTGCAAGGTCTGAACATAAGTGACCTGTAATTTTCCCCCATATTTTACAAACATTATTAAAGAGCAAACTCAACCCCCGAACAGACAGAATGAAGGCGAGCAAAGCTTTTCTATAAATGCTTTTTCACCACACGTTGAACAATTATGATATGAACTGATTTAAGATGCATCTGGTGGATCATAACAGCTGATCTGAGGAATAAATTACACACTAAAGCACATTCTTTCAGACTCAATCTTTACAGCGACTTCAACAGAAAAGTAAAAAACATCTGAATATTTTCTTGAAGTTCTGGGATGGAGGTTCTCAGGTGTTTTGGTTAAGAAATGCAATCAGATCCATCTGAGTTTGAAACTGTATCTGTACAAACTCTGCAAACACCAACATGTTTTTATTCATATCACTTGAATCCTTCAATAAATTCTCTGCTGAATGAATGAGCTTCAAATACACAAAGTGCTGCTTCTGTGGATAATTAGGAGGTTTAAAAGTTTGTTTTAGTGCTTTAAAATTAGATTACAGTGTTTCTAGTTGACAGACAGAGATACTGAGAGGAAGATGGCTCGAATGATTTATCTTTGTGTCATAAACTTTGGTAGAAGTTTTAATATATAAACACAAACAGAAAACAGAAAACTGGCACATGTAACTGAGAATAAGTCATATAAATAAGTTAGAAGCAGTTCTCTTACTGTGTGTCTGAGGGTTCAGGTTCATTACTGAAGGTTGGAGGAAGACCTTTGGACCGGTCACTCTTCATAGACAGACAGCTGGACACTGCAGACTCTGCTCTGTCCTCCTCTTCCTCCACACAATCACTCATCTTCTTATCTGAAGTCAGTCTGAGAGTTAAACATTAACACAGACTGTGAGCTCAGAGCACAGAATCAGGAAACAACAAGTCTGTTCATGAGTAACACACACACACACACACACACACACACACACACACACACACACAGTGTACAGTAGAATAAAACTCCATCTGCTCAGTTTTCTTTCAATCTAATTCATTTCTTCCCTCTACAGGAGAAACTGACTCAGAGACTTTGACAGTAAGATAATAAAATGTTGTATGAACACTCACCCTGCCTCAGCCTTCAGTTCTCCTCCTCCTGCTCTGTCCACTCTAAATGGAGACTGAACCAACTGAACACTTTCACTTTAAGGTTCCTTTCCTGTTCTCATGTACCTGGATCCTCCCTTCTGTATCTACAGGAAATCACCTGAGTGAGTGTGTGTGTGTGTGTGTGTGTGTGTGTGTGTGTGTGTGTGTATGTGTGTGTGTGTGTGTGTATGTTTGTGAGTGTTTCTCTTGGATTGAACAGATTGAATTAAAATGAGATTTGGTCAAAATGTTGGTACTTAAATGATGTTGAAACTAAATAAACTAAATGTGCTCTCATTGTTTGCTTTCATGTTTTTACTTTATTTTAATTTCCGTTTAATAATTAATGTTTGCAGGATATCAAACGTAGATTACAGTGCATGTTTACATACAAGGAGAAGATTCATGAATTTATAACTGCGATAACTAATAATTTTATGATACTGTATGTTTAAGTTTTATAATGTGTGTGAGTGTTTAATCCATATTCGGCCTTGACTCTGCAGGCTGGAGCAAGGAATTCAAGACCCATTCACACACGTCGTTTTTAACACACCTTCAGGGTGTGAATGACTTAAGCCCCAGGCTGTCTTTCAGACTGTAGAGGGGGTCCGTGTATGTTTTGGGTCCGTGTATGTTTTGGTCATTGGATTTTCCTTTCAGAAACGGGTATTAAAAAACAGAAAACGAGTGGTTATTTGATTTTCGTTTTAAAATACAAAAATTAAAATTTAAATACAAGGCGTTTTTCTTTTTCATGGTCAGAAAGGGATGAGCGAAATTTAAAAAATTATTCGATTTTCATTTTCTATTTCATATAACCAAAAATAAAATCACTAGAAAACAGAAACAGAAAAAAGGCCTGTTGTTTCATATTCTGAGACCGGATGTTGTCATTTACAGGACGGTGCTGTGGAGAAGAAACAGTAGACTAGTAGACTGCGGTCAATCCAGCCGTGAGTCCGATCTCCGTGGTCAAATCAGCCGCACTTAAATTTAGAGTGTACAAGTATTCTCAGCATTATGGTAAATGCGGAGAAACAGCGTATTTACTTCCGGTTTTCAAAATAAAGGTATTTAGAGCCGTAAGCTATATTTAAAATATGTTACATTAAAGTGTTTCATGCGCCCCTGATGAATAAAAAAAGACTTTATATCAAGTATCTTTACTGCACCAGTGTGGAGAATAAAGAATAAAAGTCCCATATTTATACTTCCAGACTCCATATTTTCTTATATTTGAGCTACTGTAAAAATGTAAACTGTATGTGGAACCACCTGCAACAGCTGTCATACTGAATAATATAAAAAATAATATGTGAGGAAGAGACAGTAGGTACAATGGTGTTTTGAAGTTAAAACTAATTATTTTTCCCTTTTACCTACAAATGGACACAGCAGAGCTGCAAAATAAGAAGAATGTGGACTGGCATTGCATTTTGTGTGAAAAGTAAACAAATTAGAATTGTGTAGGATTTTGTGTTTAGTGTTTATATTATCAAGATGTTATTAAACAGTTGTGTGAAATTTTGTCATGATTACTGCAGCATTATTGAAGTATAATGAAAATGCTTCACCCATAGCCAGGAAATATTGAGCAATATGTTTTTACAGTACCTCAAATATAAGAAAATATGGAATCTGGAAGTATAAATATGGGACATTTATTCTTCAATTTCTCCACATTGGTACAGTAAAAATGCTTGATATTAAGCATGTTTGTAGGCTTAGATGTGTAGAAGTCAAATATATCATCCATTTTTGTTTTTGTTTTTGTAAAAAATAAATATAAAGGCTCAGCTTTAGTGAAACATGATTTGTTATTGTGTTTCTGTGACACAAAAGCTCACCTTCAGTGGATGTCCTAAGTTTCAAACTTGAAATGGTATTAACATAAAAGGCTGTCCAGAAGATAAGATAGACTTTATTGATCCCAGACTGGAATTTAAAAAATAATCATTTTAATTAATAAACCTGACATCAGAGTTTGACTAGCCCTTTAAAGTGGCTCAGTCCCAAAATACTCACTGACTAGTCCCCACTTGTACTGTATAGTATGACAGGAGTCCACTGATGGCTGGTACATACTGACACAAGTCCCCTCTTAGACAGCACAGAATGACATTCACACTCCAGCATGGGTGAATAAAAAAGAAATAAGCAAAATTCTTAGGAGAAAGTAATAATCTAAACTAAATATAATATAATCTGTAGTGATGTTTTCATTTTTTTAAAGTGGTGACAGCAATGTTGTCATTGTAGTTTTTTTAAATGTGTATTGTGAAAACATAATGTCAACATATCATGACACAATAAGTAAGTAAGTGAAGCAAAAAAAAAAAAAAGACTTATTTTCTGACATATCTAAGGGACAGTTCAGCTAGAGGATAGATTAACCCCACAAAGCCCACTGTTAGACCCCAGGCAGCTACTGTAGTCATTGGATAAAATTTGTAGCTTAATTGGGCCACTTTATAAGTCCTTATTTCCTCCTTCATTTTTTAAGGAGTATGGTCTAAACCTGCTCTATATGAAATGCCCTGAGATAACTTCTGTTATGATATGGAACTAAATTAAATTCAGTTGAATTGAATCAGTCAGAGTCTGTCATTAGATATGTTCAAATTAATTCATGATAGGTTGTCATTATGTTTCACAATACACTCCACACTTCAAAAAACTACAATGACAACATTGCTGGTGCCACTTTAATAAAAAATAAAAAACATCACTACAGATTATATTATGTTTAGTTTAGATTATTACTTTCTCCTAAAAATTGTGCTTATTTCTTTTTATTCACCCATGCTGAAGTGTGAATGTTGTTCTATCTAAGAGGGGACTCCTGTCATTCTATACAAAACAAGTGGGGACTTTTTTATGTACGGAGAATTAACAGACAATTATTGAGAAGAATTGCAAACTGAGCTTGTTTATTGAAAACCTGATTGACATCCAGTGCTTGTGAAAAGTGGTCAGTCAGTATTTTGGGACTGAGCCACTTTAAAGGCCTAGTTACAGTATGATGGGAAGATTATTAATTAAACCTAAAAAGAAAGGATCTTACCACAATTTTTTCCTGCTTAATTTTTAATTTTTATTGTTCTCATTTTACTTTATTTTGATGATTGTAATCTGTCAGCCACAACATGACAGTCAACACATTCAAAACCTGCCCAAGATTAGGAAATGTTTGTTAAAATGTTTGGGCAAAAACAAAATAAAATATAATCTAATAACAAAATAAGGATGAATGGACCACTGTTTATTTCACCATTCCACACACATCATAAAAAGAATACAAATTCCCCTAAGAAATTTAAATGAGTGCACTGTTGTAATAATTTATAATTTCTGTAATCAAAGCCTTATAAAGTAATGGCACTAATAGCACTGCAGGCTTTAATATTAGTGCATGCAGCCAAGTTACGTCTTAATTGCAGGTAAATCACTATTTATTCTCAAAAAAATGGCCATGATTATTTTTGTAATTTTTGTAATATCTGTATCGCAGATAAATGTTTAAATATTGAAAACATTAGTTAATTTGTATTTTGAAAGAAACAAAAAAATCTTTGCAGTAAACAGACACTCATCAGGTGAAAGAATGGGCAGAGGCAGTTCCACTGCCGTCCTGTAGAAAAAAACAGAAAAACAGAACGATTCTTATATTCAGGTGATTATACAGTAATGAAAACATTCCTATGACACTGGAGCTTTAAATGACAGCAGTGAAAGAAAGACAAAACCACTGACAGCATTTGATTCACACACTGTTCCTTAATATAATCTTTATTGCTTTTTCTTATCGGGTTGAATACAGAACAGGTTTACATCTCTTGACTTTGTGAAACACTGTCATGTTTTACTAACAGCCGGGGGGAGGAGAGGACAGACGAGGGGATGGAAGGAAGGATTGAAACACAACCACAGAAACGCTCTTCCACATGATTGTGTGTTAATGCTTTCTGATTGAGGTCCAGCATCTGTGTGTGTGTGTGTGTGTGTGTGTGTGTGCGCGTGTGTTCGAGGAGGTTTTAGATATCCTCTCTGACGTTCCCTTTGACCTCCGACCAGGACAGAAAGTTACACGAGGGTTAAACCAAGACAGAAAACAGAAAAGGTTTGAACCGAATGTCCGGGTGAGAGGGGAGAACGGAGCAAAAGATGTCAACAATATTCTGGCTTTAAAACACCAAAATCCAACCACATCTTTTAACGGTTAGGTGATGACGAGTTCACAGTCAAGTGCTAAATGTAGTGATTGACAGTTCTGAATCATTAAAAAAAAAAAAAAAGGACAAAATAATCAGGACTTGGAAAGAACAAGTTGCAACTCAGGAAATAAGAACATGAAGCATTTCGAATAATGGATTTGTGAAAGACCCTGAGAGCGAGATTATATATATTTTATATTTATATATGTGTGTGTGTGTGTGTGTGTGTGTAGCGCAAGAAGAGATGGAGAAAGGAGAAATCATCCATAATTGAACAAATTAGATTAACATGCAAAAAAAAAAACCTAACCTAAAACTCACCCTTTAACTGAACACAATGAATTTTCACAGTTTTATACGCATTTATATGTCATAGAGAAAAACAAACAACAAAAATCATTTCTCAGCCAAACTAAAAACAACAGAACAAAGAGACCCAGACTGCCTGTTCTCAACTCATATACAGGAGATCTACATAAAGCTTTTTGGATTCAGAGGGAGTCTTATTGCTAGTCCGATTCGCACCCCGGCCCGCCGTGCCCTACGGCGAGCCGGTTTAGTCCACAACACAAACCATCGGTTCCTCAAAACAGTTCTGCAGCATAAATGTGATATTTTTAATACATGGCTTCTTCTCAAGTCATTGCAGAAACTAACTCGCACACAAACACACACCTGGGCTCCAAATAAATACATTTAAAAACAGTCCATGTGCATTCGAATGGAAGTCCAGTATTCATATGGCCACGCACACAGTCAGACGTACATTAACGCATAATCCCGAGGGAGAGGGACATACAGACAGAGCTAACAAACATAAAACAGTTGAGAGAGAGAAAGAGAGTTTCTTCACAAATGTTCAAATTAATACCTCATAATGTAATTTCATAATTTGTACTCTGAATCTCGTAATTACGACTCTGTACGTTGTTAGCTTCAGTAGTAGCCTGCGTTCACCAGCAGATGGTGCCGTTAGAGCGGGTTTTATTTCGCGGTTTTCATCATTAAGCTTTGCCGTTGAAGAGAGGACAGCAGTGTAAAAGGCCCAGTCACATAACAGCAACATTTTACTGTGAAATAAACTCATGTCAACACACATTTTTCACGTCAGATTCGACTTTGGTGGAGTTTGACGAGCAACAAGACTTTTACGCGGCTGAAATTTGGGCCAGCAGTAAAGTGTTCTGACAGCGCTGACCTCTGGAGGAAGCTAAAGCCACAGGGTTTTTAGGAAATGGTAAGTCAGGAATTAGTGATTCAAAAACAAAGTGAGCTGCATGGACTTATTGTCCCCTTAGCAACCAAGCTAACAAACAGTTAGCAAGGTAGCCAACTAAATAATGTCTGCTTCGACCCATGAAACCTAAGAAGAACTACAAGAGTTTTCATTACATAGACGATATAGAAATCTATACATTTAATTTTGGGTTCCAGGAAGTGTTCGAACAATACGAGAGACTTTAGTTGACGTTGGATCAAAGGCTTCGGATGACGTGGGAGTTGATCGCCAGTGAAGACCCTCCATATTGGAGAAACTTTATTCTGAATTGAGGAAGATTAGTCTCCAACCACGATCTTGCTGCTGTGACTCAAAACGTGACACTTCTGGAGTCCTGAACCTCTGTCAGATTCTCACTGTAGATTCAGAAATCGATGTCATTCAGTGATTTGATATTAGGACTGCAGACCGAGGTGTCAGGGTTTGGGCGCGACGTAATGAAACTCTCTCGCTCTCTCTCTTGATTGTGTTGCGATATTCCACTGTAGTAGTACTAGTAGTAGAAGAAGTAGTAGTAGTAGTAGTTTTGGGAGTTGTTAGTGCCAGTTCACAGCAAGCGTCCAGTCAGTCCAGTTGTGGTTGTTCAATATTTCTCGCCTCTCTTTTTGACTGACAAACTGACTGACCGTCGTTGCCTTACAGTTCCGTTATGAGCCGTTGAGGTTCGATTCGTTTTGATTATGAGGTTGCTTTATAAAAAAACAAAACAAAAACAGAGAGACAAAAACGTACAAGAAGAGAAATTAGCTATATTCATCTTCACACGAAAAAGAAAACGCACATACACACTACCCGTCCCCTCTGGTCGCGAGATCCTTTTTCAGTTGTGGAAATGTCCGGTTGGGTTGGTGCAAGGGGGTAGAATTAGCCCTTTTACTTGTGTTTGTTTGTGTGTGCAGCAGGGTAATACAGTTCACTCACACCCCCTCAACCTACCCATCCACCCATCCATCCATCCATCCATCCATCCATCCATCCATCCATCCATCCACCCACCCACCCACCCACCCATCCATCCATCCATCCATCCATCCATCCATCCATCCCTCCCTTTCACCCTGTTATCTAACTCCTTCTGGAAATCCTGCTGAGATTTAACTGAGTGGGTTTTCTTTAATCTGTTTTCTATTTGAAAATTACAACTGATTGTCTCTAACGCCAAATTCATAGCCGCGTCTTCAGGTATCTAATAACCTCACTGATGATGAACCAACACAGCTGAAGTATATGTCACATAGAAGTGAAAGTTAATTAGCTCTTCTGTTTGTCTCTGGGTCGACTGGAACAGGAAACAGTCCTCATATGGACACAGGAGCAGACGGGGCTAGATAGGGACAAACAGTACTAAAGCGCTCCAGAGCCGACTGAGATAATACTGCAGGAACTAGCTTGACCTGCCACTTCCTAGAAATGCTGTTAACCAACTGTGGTGCAACGTGTTAACCGACCATATCAAACTAGTTTACTGAGCTAATCCACTGTCAGCTTGTCCGCTCTGGTCGGTTAGCCCTAGTTAGCGTGTAATTTGAGCAGGCGTTTGATATCCACGGGTAATGATAAGAGCTAGCTAGAGCCAACTGACCACACCAGAGAAATTAAGTAAACCAAATGAAGGCACTGGTAGCTTGGTTATCTTGTCTGATCTGTTAGCCCTTGTGTTTGCTGTTTTTATCGTTCGTGTGCCAGACTTAGCCCAACACTGTCGCCGATACTGTTAGCCATACGTAGCTCTGTTGGGCCGTTGTGAAAGCTAAACCAGTAACGACTTGAACACGTTTGTGATGGCTAGCTGTGTCTGAAGCTACGCTAACGAGTTAGCCCTGGCTAGCTCTGATTTGGCCCACAGTGGAAACAAGGCTAGCAAAGAATGAACCCTGCTAGCCTTGTTCAGGAAGACAAAGGATTTAAAAGGTTGCCTACAGAGCTGCTCATCCGTTGTTTTAATGGTTGCAGTTAAAAAGCAGAGGTTGAGGTAAACTGAACGCTGGAGGCCCTGTAATAAACCCTAACTGAACACTAGAGGGCGATGAAGAGAGACAGGCGGGAATCGCACACACTCATACGCACACGACAAAAAAATGTTTTGATTTGTTCAGTTATAAAAAAAAAAATCCACAAAACACAAGAATTCCCCTACCTACACCTAAAAGTCACTGATAATCGCACACACGCAAAAACAACAGAAAATACTCTAGCAACACGTGCCACATGTTCAACTCGCTGTACACACATGGAATCAACTGAGAATGATTATGAATGAGAAATTATTAAAACACAAACCAACTCACAGGGTGGCTTCAAAGGGATCAATAGTGTGATGGGTTTTAAAAAACAAACAAACATGAAGAACACAAACTGATCAACACTATATCCGCCCTTCCAAGACTTCTTTTTCCACACAGAAATCGAACTCGACTTTTGACAAAGTTCGTGAAAGTTTTTGTGTGTTTTTCCGAGCCGGCTGAGAGACGGGGATCGGTGCGGAAGCGAGGCGCCGGCCATTCTGTGGTTTCCAGTTACAAAAAGCTTCCTTTGTCACACAGTGAGAGACAACTACCAGCCATCACCTCCAGGTTGCATTTCATCCAAAAATATCGCCTGGTCAAGCAGGACGAGTGGCTGGTGAGTTGTGGAAAGCTGCTGTGGCTGGCAGATTAAAACAAAGTCGAGTTCCCCACCCAGACTAGTTCGCTCTCAAATCCTAAGCTGGTTCAGATCTTAAAACTGGACTGTTCCAGTCTCTGCCGCGCGTCCCGAGCCCAGCTGTGATTTAAATACAGAAGAATAAACGCAGATACTGACAGTCGGTCTCAGTCTCTGTCTGTCTCTCTGAGCTGATCATCAATTCTCAAACAGAATCTAGAACAATAATAAATCAAAATTTTATTCTTTTTATTGCTGAAATAGAGATTCCCCGCACAAAAAAATAGTAATGCAAATCATTGTCATCATAAAAAGCTATAAAAATTAGATCCATCCTCCGTAATAATGCAGATAAAGATATAGCAAAAAACATCTCTTAGAAGTAGGACTAGTAGTAAGGCACTTAAAGAAAACGAGGTTTTCGTCTTTCTTTCGATCAAAAAAGTTTTCTGGGCTGGTGTTTGCATCATCATCATCATCATCATCATCATCAATGGTGTAGCGTCCTCCTGTCGTATGGCACTGTGGTGACGTTGGTTTGGACAGCGTGGAGCCAGCCGGGGGACATTCCCCTCAGTCTATCCCCACCAGAGGAGGCTCTCCGTTGGGCAGGATGTGCTCCAGAGGGGGCTTGGCGTGGATCTCCAGCAGCCCCTGGATGAAGCCCTCTGCGGGGGGCAGCTGCCACGGGCTCGTCCGGCAGGGAGGTGGAGGACGAGGGGGAGGGGTCTTTGGAGACGTTGGAGTCGGCTGAGGAGTCGTCACTCTTTGTGTCAGTAGCTTGTCGGCTGGGAGTCGCGTCAGCAGACGGATGTTGCGTCGCAGAGTTCTCTGATAGTTCGTCTTTTTCCTCAGCAACCGGCTCTTCAGAAGCGACGGCTGTCGGCTCTTCTTCCTCCAATGTGGCCGACTCTGCTCCATCGCCCTCCTCGCCCTCCTCTTTCACGTCCTCCTCCTCCAGCTCCTTGGCCCCCCCACACTCGCTCTCGTTCTCTGAGGGCGGGCAGGTGGAGGTCGGGGTCAGGGTGCAGGAGTCTCCATCCTCACTCGAGTCGTCGTTCGGAGCCGACGGCGGCTCGGCCGGGGCTTCAGGTGGATCCTTTGGTGGCGCACTGTTTATAAAGCATAAAGTGTAAAATGATCACACCATTCTGGGTTCCATTTTTTTAGCCAACTTCATTCCAACACATTACCACAAATGTTAAACTTCTTTTACATCTCTATTTATGGACAATAAACCCAATTTACATGAAATTATACCATGTTTTTGAACAAAATAAGCAGAAATTATTAGTTATTTTGGATAACCACTGACAGGTATATGTCAAATATTAGCCAGGATATCCCCAGGTCAAAATTGACTGATGCAATTATATTTATAAATCAGTAAGATCAGTAAACAAATATGATTTGCAAAGCAAGGTCCTCTTCATTGTGCTGTCTCAGAGCGAAATGTGAAATTCTCCGAGGATGCTGTACTTATAAGCTCAGTTTTTGTGTTTATTTTCTCGGAGAGGTGCGCCCTCTCGTGGCGAGCGAGGGTGGTGGCATAGCGGAAGCTCTTCTTACACACTCGGCATACGTGTTTGTACTCCGGCTGCTGCTTCACCGCGGAGCTGCTGGACGAGGAGGAGGAGGAGGCTGTAGCACTTTTCTCCTTCTCTTGGCTCTCTGTTGCTGCTTGGGGAGCAGAGGTAGAGGATGAAGAGGAGGGTTGCTCTTCCTGAGCGGGGCCTGAGGACGTGGAGAGCTTGAAGTCGATGAGCTTTTTGCCGAAGTTAAGGTCCAGACTGTTGTTGCTGTGGCAGTCGTCATCGTCGGCGCTCTCCGCCTGGAGGAGAGTTAAAGGAATCAGCTGAATGGACGTACAGACACTTTATTTAAATCAGATCAGTCCAATCACAGTTCTCCACTCTAACTGTTACTGACGAAGAATAAACCCCAGACAGAGCAACCTGGTGCCTGTAATAAGCCAGTTTGCTTGCACATGACAAATATAGAAAGATAAACTATGAGCTCAGGTAGCCTTACCTTGCTGCTGCTGCTCAGTGGAGGCTGTTTTCCCTGTGCTGCTCTGCTCTCTGGCGCCCTCTGCTGGTCCGGCTGCTCTGTGGTTTCTGTCTCCTGCTGCTCTGCAACGCTTTCAGCTGGACTGCAACCTGCAGCACAAACCAACATCTGTCAACACCATCATCCTCTCCGTGTGACAGTGAAAACGCAATAAAGACATTAAGGTTAATAAAGCCAATATAACATCTCACTTCCACTTATGATTAAAAAACCTTATTGTAAGAGCTCTTAACTCCATCCATCTTTGTTCATACATTTTACAACAGGACTTAAAGCAGTGGAGCTCACACCAGACGATGGTTAATCGACCAGTTGCTGCTAATGACTGACCGTGGCTTGGCTTGTGGGTGGGGCTCGGCGTCATTGGCTCTGCCTCCTGTTGGTCTGATGGGGCGGGGCTATCTGCTGTGGGGCCGGAGTCTGCACAGGCGCTGAGATCTTGTGCTTCTGGTGCTACCTGCTCCGTCTCCGACTGACTCTCTGCAGCACAACACAACGCCATCAGTACAGTGATGATCAATATCAGGAGATCAATATCATGTTGGTAAAAACAGAATCCCACTCCTCAGAATTTCTGCTCATTTCTGACTTTCCTCTAACTTTAAGATGTGTTTGTTTCTGACCTGCGCTCTCGTGCGATCCTTCGTCACCGTCTTTCTTGGTGAGGGCGCCGTTGCGTCGCAGCGTTCGGTGGGTCACACCGTGTTTCCTCAGCAGGTGGCGCTCACAGTTAGATTTGGTGGAGAAAAAGGCGTCGCATTTCGGACACGGGAAAGGCTTCTGGCCTGAAGAGAGACAAAGGATTTACAAGAGGAGACGGACGGAGTGAATGTGTGAACAGGTAACGAAACAGGACAAATCTGAACACAGAAATAACAACAGTAGAAGAAGAACAAAGTAAAACGTCTCCTGCTCTGCACCTCCCCTTTGCTCTGGTTTGGTCCAATAGTGACGTGGGAATGAAGACTTTCTTCCAACAAAAATCATTATTTCTCGATTTAAAACAGAACATGGAACTAAACTTCATAGAAATTCCCACAATAATTATTAGTTCTTGTGATCTTTGTCTCATTTAACCAGCTTAAATAAATCTGTGTGATAATATTTGCGTTGTATTGGCGGTAGGGCTGCACAGTTAAAATCACAACGAGGTCCTGTAGAGCTGCAGAGGTTCCCTGGTCTACACATCTTGTTGTTCAGATTAAAGAATCATCATGATTTCAATTGTTTTATTTAGTGAAAATTAAATTTGTGATGCAAAAATTCCCACATAATCAGCAATATGATGTTTTTACCATATCGTGCAGCCCTAATTGGTGGCTGTGTATTACCGGTGTGTGTCAACATGTGTCTCTGCAGAGAGCTGGCCCAGGGGAACACTCGGGGGCAGAAGGGGCAGGTCATCTTCTGGACAGAGTTGGAGTAGGCGTTCTTCTTCTTTCCTTTGGACTGCGGCGCCACCGCTACCGTCTTTACCTCCTCCTTCGTTCCTCCCTCCTTCTCCTCCCCTCCTCCTGCTCTGTCAGCATCTGTTCACAGCGAGGGCGGGGGGGTTGAGTTAAGCCTCAGTGTATCATCTATTCCCTCACTCAAACTGCCTTCCATGTTTCCCTCCTCCTACCTCTCTTTCCTCCCAGGTCTGCAGCTCCAGTCTGCAGGTAGGTGCTGAACTTGTTGGCGTCAGTGGTGGCCAACATCTTCTCCACGCTGGCGAACTCCCCGCTGGACTCCAGGTCGATGCCTCCGCCGCCACCTCCACCTTTGGCGCCCTGACCTACATCCCTCTCCTACAGCTGTACAGTACAAGACCTGCTGTTGGTTGCATATATTTGACTTTACAAACACTTAAATTACCAAATTAAGAGAATAGTTGCATGAAATTCAATATTAATGTAATTCTCAGTGTCTGTGGAATTCTAACGAAATGTTATTTATTCTTTTTTATTTATTCATCAATGATTTAGACTTTTATGTTGTAAAACACTACAAAAAAATCCCAAATTCTTCACTGAAAATTATGTAAAAGTGAGAAAAAGCAGCAAATATTTCCTTTGAAGAAGATCAACTTTTCAGAATCGGCCTGAGAGGCAGCACCCGCCTGGGCTTTATCCTCCAGTGCGACAGTCTGGTTTGGGGAGCAGGGGTTTGAGGTGCAGGGGTTTGAGGCGCTGCGCTCGTACCGAGTTGTTAATTAAATTAAATCCGACACACTGGACCTTTAATGCAATACAGAAGTGCTGGATCACAACTTGGTATCAGCAGATTCTCAATAATCTCATCCCTGTTTTTTTACCGTGGTATCAAATTGGGTATCAAGAATCGTGGAATTTCGGGGCGCCCGGTTAACTCACCTGGAAGAACTGTGAGAGTGGGAGAGTGAGTGAGTGAGTGAGTGAGTGAGTGTGTGTGTAATTATGTTTGTGTATGGTGCTCACAGATCAGCTCAAAATGAATTTGGTTCTTAAATGAAGTTCAAGTGATATAAAGAAATCCGTTTTGTTTAGGTTACGACTAAAGTGCTTTAAGAAGAAGATATACTTTATTGATCCCCTAGGGGAAATTGTTCTTTTCACTCTTTTACACACACAGGCTGTGGACATGCAAACAGGGAGAGAGATGGTGGAGTGATGTGGCTGCAACGTTAACAGCACCCCATGAGCAGGCTTGGGGTTAGGTTGCCTTGCTCAGGGCGCCTCGGCAATGCACAGGAGGTGAAACTGGCACCTCTCCAGCTACCAGTCCACACTCCATATTTTTGTGGTCTGTGGGACTTGAACCAGTGACCCTCCGGTTCCCAAGCAATGTCCCTACAAACTAAAACTTAGCTATAAAAAACAAACACAGTTGAACATCAGCTCATTCATGTTCACATATAAATAACTGTCTAGTGATTATTGATTGAGTTTCAGATGTAAACACTAACCTGCTTCCTTCCACCTCTGTTTGCATGCAGCCGGCTGTCCACTCATGTCAGATCACTGCGGTAGTACAGGGGAGTCCTCAGGAAGAGTTGCATCCACTGACAAAACATCCTTGCCTCCAACTGGAGCTCCTCTTCCTTCACATCTGAGCTGCTGAGGAACATCAGTTTAACATTGAAATCTAAATCCAAATATTCAGTCAAAAACATTAAAGATTACAAATGGGAGTCTGAATATGAAATATTCAGACCAAATGATTTTGTCTCATTCAGTCTGCAGAGCTCTGCATGTATGTAGTCCTGTCACAGAGCAAAGGGAATGGACACATTTGATTTAACAACACGGACTGAGCTGTCTCAGTGGATTTCTTCTCACCTTACTCTGCAAGGAAACATCCATTGTTTTACTAAAATCTAAACACTGATTATTTCCCAAATGAGAGAACTGAGATGTTTTTTTGGTCGTCTTTTTGGGACGGAATGAAACTTCTCAGTACTCAAGAGTCTGAGTGATGATACTGAGTACCAGTACAATACCAGTGCTCTTTTATCTAGATTTCTGAAAGATTCTTCAATACTGAATTGGATTGCAACCAGATTTGGAAATGTTGTACATAAAGCCATGTGTGTGACATTTCAACCCTAAACAGCTCTACAGTAATATTAAGTTACTAAGTTAGTAAGGATGGGGCAAATACAATTTAGGGGTTGGCGCGGTATACAGGTCAGAGGTCTGTACTGTGTATTTGGTTCAAATAATAGCATTATTATTAATATTAACTTTATTTTATACATTTTAGTTAAATCCAATAATGTGACACTCAATGTCTTTCAGAGACAGATAACAAAGACTTGTCCATTTGACAATAATACCTAAGTTATAGAGGTCAGGACAGATAGAGGATAGAGGGTCAGTGCTGTAGATACTGGGCTGATTGCAGAGATTACACAGAGGGGAGAAAGAGAGAAAGACCATAAGCTTTATCAAAGAGGAACATCTTAAGCCTACACTGTAACAAATTGCTGTAAATATACTGGATATTGTGCACAGTAGTGTACCGTTTTCCATTAATACAGTTGAATACTGTAAATTCTGATGTCTTTGAGGTACAAAATATTAATGGCAAGCTCCTGTAAAATCTTACGGTAAAAAGCAGTATATTTATTTTTTACAGCAAGCTACCTATAATCTTATGGTATAATATAGTACTTTTTCTTTTTCAGTTAACTTTAAATCAGACTTGATCTTCGGTCCGTTTAATAGTTCATCTGAGCAAAATAACAAATTAAATGAAATTAAAAATAGGCCTACACACATCAGTGTTTTTATTTGAGATTGAGGACACAATAACAAGAAGATGAAGAATTAGTTTTCCATCCGCAGACAGCACCAAACTGGATGGAGCACCTGCTGCTGTCCTCACCGTGCTCTGTCAGCTGCAGCGCACCCTCATCCATCCTGTCCCCGTGGCTTTCTTAAGAAGGTAAATATAACCTTGCAAAAGTCAGCATAATGCTAATGTCATTGATTAACATTTTATTGACTGTTTTTTGCCGAAAAGATTGAGTCAAAAGTACGTGCCGCACGCTAGCATACGTTACTCTCAATTAGCAACTATGTGGACTAAAGTTTAGCTTTCTGTGTTAATTTTTTATTCAGTTACTGTTATAGGGTTCCGTATTAAATGCAAATGATCTGTACTTACCATACCTAATATCTTATATACTTTCTCTATTATTACATTTTAGGCGCCTCATTGGGATTAATCCTGAGAGGGGAAGAAAGACCAGCCAGGGGAAGCTGGTCCTCAAAAAGGCATCAGCGGTGAATCCCCATGTGGCCACTCTACTATAAAATGTGATGGCCTTTGAGTGGGGCTTTATTTAGCCAGCATAGTTCAGTCCATCAGTCTCAGATGTCCAGGTTCATTTTTGGACCCACCATTGTTGAGAGCCAGTTTGAGATGTTTAATTGTTGTTGTTAATGGAATGTGTGTAATTTAGTTAGCTTTTACTTAGTTTTCTTAGCTGCTATGCATTTGATGCAGTGACTTTAACCCAACTGTCTTTGGGTGAAAGGAGGAAGGAAAAAAACTAGCAGTAAGGTTAAATTGGCTGATAATTTGTACTCTATGCTTTACAACCAGTCAAACCCGACCTGGTCAATTTTGACCTGGGGAGGAAAATACAAAGTTTAATGAATGTAAGGTTAGCCATCACTTGTCATAGTTCAGGAAAAAAATTCTGACAACCAAGTAGTAATGGTGTTTTTATGGATTTTGTAGATACTGAAAATGTTCAGCTTTAATAAATGCCTAATGTTGTACGGCCATCTCTTGTCTGAGCCATTACTGTGACAGCTATTTTCATTTATTATTTTCATTATTTCAGGAGTTTTCATTTTTAAATGTAAAACTTTTAAATCATTAGTTTATATCACTGTGAAGATCACATTGTACAGTTTTACAGTAATAAGTTGTTAATGGAGAGTACTGTAGGAACTGTAAAATAATAGTATAATTGCAACCAAAGAGCTGACGTATAATACTGTAATGTTTATTTTCCATACAGCACAGTACTGTAATACTATTACAGTACTAAACTGTTGTTGTAGATCACAGTAGGTACACTGTAGAATAACAAGTTTTAAACTGGCAACTGTAGCTGCCAGTAGTTTACTGTAATTTAACAGGAAATTTTGTTACAGTGTACTTGTAACAGGTCAGTTTAGGACCCAAATGCAGCAGACTTAAGTAGGCAGTAGTCGGTAATGACCTTTATTTTCAGCTTGTGGAACAAACAAAGCAAGCAATGTTCAAGTCTGGTTTTAGGTTGTGAACCCTCAGAGTCTTTTGCAGGAGTTGAAGAGCTGGCAGGTGAGTGTGCGCACACAATGGTATGTGTGGCAATACAATCAGAGTCTCTGAACCACAGAAACTCACAGGAGAGGAGATGGTCGAACTCACACTGTGTAGTAGTAGTCATGGGGAAACACCAAACAGCCCAGGAGAGAGGCAGATGGTAACCAGGAACGGAGAAACCAAGCTTGTGGTCGGGGACAGAAGGCTGAGGTGATATCTGGGGAAGAGGCGAGGTAGGATGGTCAGAAGCAAGCAGGGTCGACCCAGGAGATCCATCCGAACAACGCTGGAAGGTCTTGCATTAATACAAAGGACAAACCGGACAAGCGACTGGTGAGGAGCAGTATATATAGTGGTGATCAGGAGCAGCTTGTGTGCACAGGTGAGCAGAGTGGCTGATGAGGAGGCGTGGCTGACTGGCAGAGTGGAGCAGGGGCAGGTTAGTGGAAAACTACTGAGATGGCTGAGTTGAACAGGTGATTAGGAAGGCAGACTGTGACACTACTCTTGAATGTGGTGAGGGTGTCTGCCTCCCGAACCACAACTGGAAGCTGGTTCCACAAGAGAGGAGCTTGGTAACTGAAGGCTCTGGCTCCTGTTCTACTTTTAGAGACTATAGGAACCACAAGTAGTCCAGCATTCAGAGAACGTAGTGTTCTAGTGGGGTGATAGGGTACTATGAGCTCTTTAAGATATGAAGGGGCCTGACCATGAAGAGCTTTATAGGTGAGGAGGAGGATTTTAAATTCTATTCTACATTTTACAGGGAGCCAATGCAGAGAAGCTAGTACAGGAGAGATGTGATCTCTTTTTCTAGTTCCTGTCAGTACTCGTGCTGCAGCGTTCTGAATTAATTGGAGTGTCTTAATGAGCTTCTGAATTATTGAATCTCAAATGGGTCCTCACCAAGATAGTAACACAAGCCCACACACACACACACATTAAAAGTGCAGCAGTATTGTTTGTTCAAGATGTAAAATATTTTATTCTCGGTAAATGATTCTAAATCTTTTCAGTCTTTGTCCAATCAGAACACATTACCTTCAGTGCGGGGACAGGAAACAGTTCAACTTTATATAAAACTTAATTAATTAAAGTTGAGCATTTTATTGCTAGTGACAGCTGACGAGTGAACAGGGAACAGGAAAGGGTGAAGAGAGAGAGAGGATGACACACAGCAAAGAACCACAAGCTGGAGTCAAACCCAATGTTTTTATTTTCTTCCTTTGACAGTTATTAGTATTTTCACATAGTTCAATACTGTACAGATTTAGTTTTATTTCATAATTTTAAAGACTAAAGTGAGTAAAAACTGTTTCTCCAGCTGCTCCAGGTCTTTGTACAACTTTTTCCATTGAGGTGATTAATTATATCATAATGTATAATGTATCTTCTTTAAATATACATTTTATAACATTCGTATATATTCGTATTTATAATGTTTGCAAACATAGCCAGCACCAGTTAGGCTAATGTTATTAACATTAATTCATTAACAACTTCAGCTTTCCACATGACCCCAGTCCATTTACCTTCCCTGACATTACTGTCCTCACCAGTCAGCCGTAGCAAGGAGGGATAAAATCAACGTAATCTTTAAATGACATTAGCTTCAATCATCATCAATCTTCCCAGCTTGTTATTTAGGTCCACTGAGAAATAATTACTGTAAATTAAAGAATAACACAAAACCAATCAAAATGAATTATTTCAACACTTTAAAGTGGATTGAAACATTCAGCGTCAATAACAGGAAACCTCCAGTCAGTGTGGTTTGTTCTCCAGACTCCCCTGCAGGTTTATGTCCATGTTCACCCTCTTTGTTCACCCAAAGAAGAACTAAACATGTTGAAAAATTTGAAATTATGGTCCAGACCCCAATGGTCCTGTAGCTGGAAACATCATTCTGTGTTGAGCAGTATTTGTTCCTCTAATTATTTTTCTAAAGTAACCATTACATCAGATTGTTCCAATATTTCTTTAAGTATCATGTGTGTAATCTGCTTTCTATTTCTGCCTGATGTTGCGGCTGCAGCTTCTTTGTCCACCAGTAAGGTCTGCCTCCATCTAGTGGCTGAAACTAAGAACAACAGTCTGACCTTCTGACCTGTTTTCTCACTTTTTCACTTGAGTGAATAACTCACAAAACAAAACATAACATGTTAATGTAAAGATTACAATCAGTAATGTGACACTAAACCAGCGAGCTGTTAATGAGATTCATCATCAGACAATTTCTTGCTTTTGTTTCAGTTGAAGTTCAGCTCTCTGGAAAGGCATGGATCCACCTCACAGAGAGCAGCGATCAGGGCTGAGCTGGCTTCAGGTCCCTTGAATCGCACCGTGTCGATCAAGTATTCAGCTTTTTGTATTTTGTCTTTTGTTTTAGCTGACTGCATTTCCTCATCATTTATAATGCGACGCTCAAGGAGTTTATCCAGAAGCTGGTTCAGAACAGCGTCAGACGCACCGCTTTTAAACTTTATCCGAACTGAGAGCAGCCTCTCATGTGCTGGGACCCCGTCCTCTGCTGGGACTCTGTCCTCTGTTGGGACCCTGTCCTCTGTTGGGACCCTGTCCTCTGTTGGAATCCTGTCCACTGTTGGGACATTCCTCTGTGGACCTGGAAGATAACATGGAAAATACCTTTGTTGTCTCAATACATCCATTCTAATCTTGAATTTGACGTTGGCGTTGTATGAGCAGAGCAAACAGTCACACTGAGTCAATCAGCAGCTCCAGTTTTGTGAATATGGATGAAGGGAAGGTCACATGTGTAAGCCATGATCTCAGAGTGGAGAGACCCTCAACCCTACATATTCCATATGTACGTGGACTTAAAGGACAATTCCGGACAATTCAGACGAAGAGCTGCGGGAGGTCCGTGAAAGGGCTACAAGAGAGAGAGCTACCGGTAGTCAATGCCGCATCACAGCCTTGTACTTCGGGAAACTGGTGGTGTACCTGCGGACATTGTGAAGCTATGGCCACCGAAGAGGAGTGCCTGTGTTGCACAGAGTGGGACCTGTTGCGTCCCAACACCCAAGAGACGCAGTTATAAGGTAATTAGTGGTTTGTGCTGAAACTGGTCACGTTCGATTAGCATGAAAACATATCCCAGAGAACGGACGAACTCGGTACACACGTGTTATTAACCCCATGTTCATTTTGTGCCGGAATAGTCCTTTAACCTTGATAGCAACATGACTCAGAGTGGCTGGAGAGATGGTCTCTCCACTCAGAGAACCTGGCTTACACATGAAACCTTCCATTCTTTATATGGTGCAAAACAACTACACATACTGTATCTATTCTATTCTAACAATGAACTCTGACAGCAGGTAGGGAGCTTCTACAGGAGGGTGCAGCCTTTACCTGGCAGAGGCACAATGCGTTTCCAGACTTCTCTGCTCTCTTGATCCTGGACCATCAAAGTCACTCTCTTTGGGTTCGTAGTCAGAAAAACTTCAAATGTTGGATAGAAATTTGGTCCGTAGTTTAAGCGAAAGTCTGTTTGCTGAAAACCAGAAGCAAGGAGTAATTTTTATACCTGTTGTAAAAATGTTAATCTGGTACTTTCCTCATTGTGAATCTATTTTCAACATGCAGCATATGAACTGTGTGAATTGTATTCATGATAATTCTGTGTATAACCATTGTAGAGTGACTCCACTCACCTCAGGCTGTATTGTGAAGCCCTCAGGTTCACAGTGGACCCTGTACCTTTTACCAACGCTGAGATGACAGTCGGAAGAGATCCTGATGTTTTGAGCATCTTTTTGTTGAATGGAAACCTTAAGTAACAGGACATTTTATTATAGAGGTTCTGATCAGATAGTCAAGTCCATCTTATTTACAGAGCACATTTAAAAACAACAACTGTTTACCAAAGTGCTTTACAGAGAATTACAATCAAATAACAACACAGACATACTAGAGGGTCTAAGTATAGCTTATTATCAACATAGAACAAGAATAAAAAGAAACAGAAAACAGATTATGAACAGAATAAAACATGTCTTGTTCATTTCTGTTTTTTCTGTTTCAAAATCAAATACGAAAAACAAAATAATGTTTTTCTGTTTTTCTGTTTGAAAACAAGAATGAAAAATGGAAGAAAAAACTAAAATGTATGTGTTACGTAGCTATGTAGTTATTTTAACCCAAACCATGATCTTTTAGCAAACCTAACCAAACTGTGACCATTTCACAACGTGAACCATGTGAAAACAAAGGTCCAGTACGCCTGTCGCTGGTACTCCCCCATGTTCATATACGTTGTTTTGGGAGTTACTTGTGATAGACCTATTTTTCATCTTGGAAGTCTTCTTCATCAGTTTTAGAAAATGTAAATATATATAAATCACTACGGTTGTTATCTGTCTCAATAGGTATTTAATTTGGGCCCCTGTTTACTATTAATGCCACCTGGTGGACGTATAATAAATGACACTGGCAGGCAGACGCGCATGCTGAGATAACCCAAAATAAAACTAAACACAAAAAGATTTACAGGTCAGATTGATTTTGGTTCTTACCACAGTATGAGACTGATCCTAATCATCTTCTTTTTTTTTTTCCCCAAGTATTATTTTTTTGGCCTTTATGCCTTTATTTGATAGAGAGATAGCTGGAGATAGAAAGGGGGTGCAGAGAGAGAGAGGGGATGACATGCAGCAAAGGGCCGCAGGTCGGACTCGAATCCGGGCTGCTGCATACCGACTGAGCTAACCGGGCGCCCTATCTAAATCATCTTTGTGGAAACAACTGTGGCTTAGAACACAAGTTTAGGCAGATGGTAAACACACAAGACAGGTAGCTTTACCTCATCCAGAGGGATGTTCCCAGGCAGCAGAAGTACATCGAGTATTGGGTACCCTATGTCTGGAGGTCGGAGGTACAGCTGAATTTGGCCAGTTATTGGCACCAAGATTTCCATAAACCTTCTAACGAGATCCCAGACCGTGCCAAAGGCAGAGAGGTGAGGAACCTTCACAACCACGTGAGTGTTTGTAATCTGCAGCGGCTCCAGGATGCTCATTCCATCATCAGTGATGTGGACGACAGACAACAGACCATCAAAGAGCAACGCTGTGAAAGATAAGAGTGGTTAATCTTTTGTTGAGGCTCATTGATGCACCTGGGGAATGAAGGCTGAAAAAAGTTAATGCTGGTACTGATAGAAAGGGGTCAGAACACACAGTGCAGAGCAGGCTGTTGGTCTGGGACTGCAGAACATTTTGAGCACCACGTTGTGGTCATAGATTTATGGCTGATCGGTATATATAAATATATAAATACAAATGTTTGCACTGCTACTATTTCAATTTTGAAGACTGAATGTTTACCATCCTTTGTTTCACAGTGTGGGAGGTGGAGCTGACAGAGAGCAGCATCCTCTGAACACTTGATATCAAACAACATTCCTGCAGGCGTCTTTCCAGCTGCTTGGAGGAGGCTCTCATCCCACTGGATAGTCCTGTACAGCAGCTCCACCTCCTGAACCACATCAAACACCAGCCCAGTCACAGTACACTGAAAAACACCTGGACCAGGACACCTGAACCTGTAGGACACAGAAGGGGTTGATTACTTCAAGCTTTCAGCCTGTAGGTCACATGATCTGTTGAGTTAAGACGTGCAAATGCTCTGTGTTTTTATTCATCTTGTATATTGAGTTTTACATGTTTTTAATCTTCCTTTCTTGCAACTTTGAAACTCTGAACTCTTAAATCCATCCAATTCCCAAGCAGACAGATCTTTTATTGTTCAGTTATTTCCAGCTGTTTTTCCTTGAGAACCAAAGTGGGTGCTTCATATTCTACAGGCAGTTGTGCAGCGCTCTCTGTCGCTGATGCATCCTTGATTACAATGGTTCCACTCAAAACTGGTTGAAACGCAGGCCGGTTCCCTAGACAGCAACAAGGTTTAAAGAATCTTGAATGGAACCGGTTCAAGAACCAGAACTAATTTGGTGGAAAAGGGGACAGGAAAAGATTTCCAAGACCTCTGGGTCAAGAAGGAAACCCTGCAGGATTCAAGGCCGACACTAATGGTGCAGACACACAGAATCTGGCGACGATGGATCTAGTTGCACTGGGACACTGAACCAGTTGTGGTTGTGGAGGCAGACACCCTCACCACATTCAAGAGTAGGCTTAAGACATTCCTCTTTGATAAAGCTTATAGTTAGGGCTGGATCAGGTGAGTCCTGAACCATCCCTTAGTTATGCTGCTATAGGCCTAGACTATCGGGGGATTTCCCATGGTGCACTGAGCTCCTCTCTCTCTCTCTTTCTGCACTCATTCATGTTCCATTAATGCATGTTACTAACTTCACTTCTTCCCCGGAGTTCTTGTGCTCTCTCGTCTTGCAGGTTCTTGTCGATCCTGGTGGAGCCTCCGGCCATGGTCCTGCTAGATTTCCATTGCCAATACTGTTGTTGCTGTGCACCTGTCTGTCTGTCTCTCTCTCTCTCTGTCTCTCTCTCTCCCTGTCTCTCTCTCTCTTACCCCAACTGGTCGAGACCGACGACCACCCACCTAGAGCCGGAGGATCTGTCCTAGGTTTCTGCCTTTTAACAGGCAGTTTTTCCTTGCCCTTGTCGCCAAGGTCTTGCTCATGGTGGTACTGTTGGGTCTCTGTAATTAATGTTTTAAAGAGTTCGGTCTAGACCTGCTCTATTTGAAAAGTGTCCTGAGATAACTTCTGTTATGAATTGGCGCTATACAAATAAAATTGAATTGAACTGAACGCAATGCTACGGCTGGTGGGTGACGAAAATGTTATTTGACTGATGCTTGGTTTTGAATCTGCTGCTCTCATGGCTAAACCGTACACTGAAATATGTCGTGAAAAGACTTGAGAGAAACAGTCAACACAGTAAAAGAATTTTGACTCATATTTGATCAGCACTGCCTAGTTTGACAGTTTGATCTGAGTTTTCATGAGCCTGCTGAGGACTCAAGGACTCACACAGGAAACAGAACAAAGGAACAGACTTAGGGATGCAGAATTAAATGCACATTAACATATACATACAATACAGAATAAACTACATTTAAATGCTGAGAAATGTTTTCTGTCATTTCTGGACGCAACTTGGCAACCTTTTTTGCTTGGCTTTCCCAACTTTTCAGACCCTCTAAGTGACTTTATTTCTAAAGAAAATGTATTCAGACTTATTCACCAGACCACACCATTAGGGAAAAGGCAATAAACATATGCAGATATATAATATAATATAATTAATATCCCTGCATGAGTAATCACAAAGCTCTTCTTCTCCCTCTCTTTTCTTGCACCATGTGCAGGCAGTCAGTAGGTGGGGCAGGTAGGTTGAGCAGAGACTCTCTCTTCTCTCCGGAGCTCTGGATTAGGATGTTCTTATAGCTTATAAATATATTAATCATTTGTTTGATTGTGTAAATATTTAAATTATTCGATTGATGAGGTCAAAGTATTCTGCATTTTATGATCTGGTTACCTGTATGAACTCTTTCCAGACTCAGTCAGCAGTTCTGGTGTGAAGCTTAACTTGTCCTAAAATTGAAAAAGGCACAAACTTAGTTAATGAAACTGGACTGGAGAGTTAATTAGAACACATTGAGATGGGAGCAGAAACTGGCTACAGGTGACAGGATCCTCACTGCTTCACTTTCTACTCTACGTAAAGCCTGCAGGACTACGTTGGACAGCAGCTGGTAGTTTAATATTAGTAGAATTTAGAAGGTCAGAAATATTCAACCCTGGAGGGGGTAAAACTAAGGAACCAGAGTCTGATCACTGACAGATGAATAAAAATGTTAAAGTTAAAAACTGACATTTGTATTCAGAGCCTCTCCACACACAAGCTGCTGCTGCTTCAGTGTCTCTGGATCATCAGGACACAGCTGATCCTCTTCATCCACACTCTCCTCTCTGCTGTCCTCAGACACATCCAGGACTGTGCTTGATGTGGACGGATCTGGTGGGTGATTAGAACCATCGCATGGGGACAAGAAGACACACAGCAGATGTCAAACTTACATTTGGACATCCTGGTGACCCAACATTCATAAAACCTGAAACAGCAACGTCTCCAGTTCAAGGCTGGACCAGGCCCTCTGTAGCATATCTTTCCCTTCATGTTTCCTGTTGTTATCTACTGACAAACCCAATAGAGTCCAAATGTAAGATAATGTGAACACTTCAAGACCAGGTCCAATGGGGATAAATATCAAGTTAAAGTCCATACAATACAATGTATACAAAAAACACAAGGACTGAGATTGAAGACATTCTTTCAGTGACATCCTCTTCCCCAACATGGAGAACAAAAGATCTGCAGTGGTTATTGGGATTAACCAGCAGCATGAAGCCCACAGCAGCCAATCTCCCAGTTATGCTTTAATACCAGTTTAAGTTTCTTTAATACATCCAGTGGGTGTTTACTCACATCCTTTATGTTTATGAGGTGTAGCCCTGTATTCTCTGTCGTCCACCCTGTAGGAATAAACACAAATACAACAGTTATCTCTCATGAAGAGAGTGAGGCTGTAATTACACACAGTGGAGCTTGGAGCTAAATGCTAACATCAGCATGTAAACATGCTCACAATGACAATGCTGACATACTGATGTTTACCAGGTGAATTGTAATTGTTTATCTCTGAGCTGGTTGGAGAGTGAAACTCACCATAATAGGACGGCTAAGTTAGCTGCATTGCTAACCAGCTAACAGCAGTAGCTGGAAAACATTTGAAGTAGCTAACAACAAGTAGCTGCAGCTATATTTCCATCAGGAAACTCCATAAATCACTAACATTTGAAGCTGAGCAGCCGGAGGACGTCAGAGGGAAAAACTGAACATATTTTCTCCATAAAATCTGATCCAAGTTCACCAAAATCACTGAATAAAGTTATAAACTTGTGCTTTTGTACAGTAATCAGTGAGGCCCGGCGCCCTGAAACACTCTTCTCCGGTTGCATCCTTCATGAATCAGTGTTCACTAACACCGGGTACAGACATTCAGCCGGCTTCAGTCAGCCAATCAGAGGACAGTGGGCTTTAGGAAGGGCGGGACTTAAAGAGACAACTTGTTTCAGACAGATGATGAACTGAGGGGCTGCATGAAGGGCCAGTATCAGATCAATAAAGATGTTTCTGAAGAGTGAATCATACAAAGCTACTCTAGTGGAGTTTCAGTCTGAGAATAAAGAGCTGGACATTCAAAGTCACCAAAGTTATTATAATTCATCCTGAGGGGAACATAAATGCCTAAACAAACGCAATATGTATATATATAATAATGCATCCAACAGACAGACAGACGGCTCCTGTCACTCATGATGTGTGTTTTGTCTAGAGGAGCTGATTTCACTTCTATCTGGAGCACCTGGGCCCGGTGCTTGCCGGATATAAAAGCTCCAGCTTCCTCCCTCTCTCTCTCGCTCTGTTTGCCAGTTATTTGACTTTTACTCCTCAACACCTCATCTTTCACTCACACTCACCCACACCAACACCACTGATATTACAAACAACATCATCTCATATTTCAAGTTGCGTTTTAAGTTATAAATAAATATTCATTACTATTTTACAAAGCTGTGTCTTTCCCACTTTTAGTCAGGACATATGGGGCCAGGTTATGACGATGTGTAACACAGTTAAAAATGCAGTTTATCCATTCTCACAGGGATAGAAACTGCTCTGGTCGGTCGGGGCGTAAATTAAGTGATTGAATGATGACAGTAAGATGGAGAGTGGTCTGTAGACCAATCACAGCTCACTCATTGTCTGGACTCCAGCAAATGAGATGAAACAATACATTGCTTGTAAACTAAATAAGAATTGATCATTTATAGTAGTGCTGTCAGTTAAACGTGTTATTAACGGCGTTAACACAAACCCATTTTAACAGCATAAATTTTTGTATCGCGAGATTAACGTTCTTTTTGGCCTAGCACACTTTGTAGTTTTTTCACATGCTGTTGCAACAACTAGTACCGTTAGAAAAACTACAACACCACAACGGATCTAGCTAGACCGGAAACAAAACAACAGGCACGCCGCACACACTTGTTTAAGAGTAGTAGACGCTGCGTTTTGAGTGGATGGCGAGCGCGAGACGCCGAAATGGATGCCAATAATATTCTGAATGGAAAGTTTACTTTTAAAAAGTTGCCAAATGGTTCCATTGACAAGACCAAAGTGATCTGTGTGTTTTGTTGTTGTGAACTGAGCTATCATCGCAGCTCGTCCAGTCTGAAATACCACTTGATGGCCAAACACACAGCTGATGAGAATTCTCCGCCCCCTCGTCAAAGCCAGGCGACAATGGATGACTTCAGACAGAAGCACATGGATACCACATCTAAGAACAAACTTAGCTTATCTATCTATCTATCTATCTATCTATCTATCTATCTATCTATCTATCTATCTATCTATCTTAACTTGTATCGCCCTGTTTTGATCCCTTAGAAAGGGCTGTTGAAGGGGCTGTTTGTGTGACAAAGTATTTTTTTCACCCTTTTATTGATGGACAGTGTTACATTGTGTGACAATGTAAATCTTATTGAGCAGAGCCGTCAACAATGGGCTCATCAGCATGGACTGACTGCAACTAACTACAAACCTCAGAGTCTCCAGTCTACAGTGTGGACTCTCCAGAAAACCACACAGCAGCTTCACTCCTGAATCCTGCAGGTAGTTGTAACTCAGGTCCAGCTCTCTCAGATGGGAGGGGTTGGACTTCAGAGCTGAGACCAGATAATCACAGCTGATCTTTGACAACCTGCAGTCCCACAATCTGAATAAAGAATAAATGTAACACCCATTAGTTACACACACAGTGTAATCCCCAATGTTCACAGTTTAACAATGTGTAGAACTATACAGTCTAGTAGATTTCAGATGTAGTTGTTTAGTTTCCTTGTTTCTTTCTCTGTTTATTTTTCATGCACCGATACAAACCAGAGCTCCACGTGAGAGAGAGCGAGTTTAATAAAGTTGATAACTGACTGTAAAGTTGTTAAAATGACCATTTTGGAGGACTTCTGTACAAGGAAGAGGATTTTTCTTGTCAAAGCTGACCGTGTGGATATTGATTATTATCCAGTGAAAACTCCGGTCAGTAAATGCTATGAAGGATTAGCGTTGCCGCTCACAGATAATTACTTATTTTATTGAATATGTCTCCACTGTGTATAGTTATGATTCTGTGATAGTGTTTAAAAACCAACCGGAGACAGATAAACATGTTGAGCTGTGTTAATAGCACTAGCACCTGTTATACAGCTAAGAAAGCTGGTTGTTGAGCTCAAACACACACAGCTGTGTGAACTTGAGTTTACAGAAGATAATTCATTTCATTTTCTTGATAAAAACATGATTGAAAGTCATTCATTTCATCATTTGTGTACATTAAGCTGTGATGAGTTAAAAGCATTTAAAGATTTATATATATAATTGTGTGTTGGCTGTTAAAGTTATTGTGCAGCTGTATATGAAACTTTGTCATTGAATAATTCATGTTCATTGATTTAAGATAAAAAGAGAGTTAATACTGTACAGTTAAGATAAATAGATAAAGAGAGATTAACGAGATGAATAAGATTGTATTGAAGAGATGCTACTACTACTGCTCTATGCAGGTTGGTTTTATTGTATGAGTGGATTCTGATGGCGAGCCAGAACCAAGCCCATTGGATCGTGGAGGGTGTGACGTCAGCGAGAGCTTCACTGTGCATTGGAGAGAACATCTCTTCATACAGATAATAAAACATACAGTCACACTACCCGGGTAGATGAACAATCACACAAACACACTGAAGAAGGACAAACTGTGAATATTGACTTCATTCAGACTTTTTCTGTTTTTGGACTCTTTTGAATTTTCTCTCTGGTCTGTTGATTATTTTGGGCCCATATATTTCATAACTCATACTGTGAAGAGTTTTGTTTTCTACTGAGCGTTATTCAGTGTCATTTTCTGACTTGTTGATAACTTCTGACACAAGAAAGGAATTTCAGTCATATCTGAAATATTTTGTTTTGCACTTAAAAGTGGCACTGCTGCCAATAAAGCTATTTGTTACTACTCTTTTCAAACCGTTGTCCTGTTCCATCAATCCTCCTTGAGCGTATCTATTTCTTCTGATAGAATAAGTAAGATAGTAAAATACAAAAAGGTAAAAAGAGCTCTCATTAATATTAATGACAACGTGCTGCTGCTTCAATAAAGACGTAGTGACTTCAGCTCTTAACCTCTGCCAGCTCCACCAGTGGCTCCATCTATACAAACTCATGTTGTGCAGCCAAACACAAAGAAAAACCCACAGAAACTGATTGAAGGTTCCACTCAAGATCCCAAAGTTTCCAAAGATACCAAATATGTCAGGATGGATTTTGGGATAAACTCATACAATACTAAATAATCTCAAAGAAAGTGGAAGATTATTCCAGTCAGATGGAGCTTTAAATTAAAATGACCTGCGTCCAACTTCTTGAAAGAAAGAGAAAAGGATATTGCATGTGTCTAATTGGATATGGAGATGTTCATGGGACTAACAAGTGTTTCAGATAGGAGGGACATTTAACATAAACACATTTAAAATAACAAATAAATAAATAAAATGACAGGACCTACCCTCTAACCTAAAGTAACACAATAATAATAATAATAATAATAATGATAATAATAATAATAATAATAATGATAAGAATGACATTATTACTTGTTATTGTCTGATAGTTGAAATAGAGATTATTGATTTATTCATTGTATTTGTGTCTTTTAAAACACATGATGGGGAATATAAGATGGAAATAAAGAGTGAATTATTCAGTGTAGATTCTTCTTGTTATATTCAGGTTTTAAATGTGGAGCTCAACATTGCTCTGCCACAGTCAATGGACTAAACCACTGAAGAAGAAAACAGACTTTAGCATTAAGATACTCAGTGTGTGTGTGTGTGTGTGTGTGTGTGTGTGTGAGTGTGTGTGTGTGTGTGTTTGTGTGTGTGTGTGTGTGTGTGTGTGTTCTGAAGGATCAATATCAATGATCAGACATTATTTATGAAAACACACTGAAATCAACAGAAACCAAAGAAATATTCCTCCTTCAGTAAACTTGATCAGTTTAAAACAAATATTAGTTCAGAGGATCTTCTGTATCCTGATGTGACCATTTACCAACAATTATAAACATTCATTTACTTTAACAACTAACAGTGGACATTTTCTACAGTTTCTTTAACAAACACAAGTCTTTGTGACTGCAGAATAAATTTAGTTCAACAAACATTAAAATATGAACAAAAGCAACTTTACAACTTTATGGATGTAAGTTATGTATGAACATAAATTAGGTTCAGTTGTTAATTAAACATATCAGATCTACAACAGTAACAGAGAGTCAGTGAACTGACCTCAGAGTCTCCAGTCTACAGTGTGGACTCTCCAGAAAACCACACAGCAGCTCCACTCCTGAATCCTGCAGCTTGTTGTTACCCAGGTCCAGCTCTCTCAGATGGGAGGGGTTGGACTTCAGAGCTGAGACCAGATAATCACAGCTGATCTCTGACAACCTGCAGTCCCACAATCTGAATAAAGAATAAATGTAACACCCATTAGTTACACACACAGTGTAATCCCCAATGTTCACAGTTTAACAATGTGTAGAACTATACAGTCTAGTAGATTTCAGATGTAGTTGTTTAGTTTCCTTGTTTCTTTCTCTGTTTATTTTTCATGCACCGATACAAACCAGAGCTCCACGTGAGAGAGAGTGAGTTTAATAAAGTTGATAACTGACTGTAAAGTTGTTAAAATGACCATTTTGGAGGACTTCTGTACAAGGAAGAGGGTTTTTCTTGTCAAAGCTGACCGTGTGGATATTGATTATTATCCAGTGAAAACTCCGGTCAGTAAATACTATGAAGGATTAGCGTTGCCGCTCACAGATAATTACTTATTTTATTGAATATGTCTCCACTGTGTATAGTTATGATTCTGTGATAGTGTTTAAAAACCAACCGGAGACAGATAAACATGTTGAGCTGTGTTAATAGCACTAGCACCTGTTATACAGCTAAGAAAGCTGGTTGTTGAGCTCAAACACACACAGCTGTGTGTACTTGAGTTTACAGAAGATAATTCATTTCATGTTCTTGATAAAAACATGATTGAAAGTCATTCATTTCATGATTTGTGTACATTAAGCTGTGATGAGTTAAAAGCATTTAAAGATTTATATATATAATTGTGTGTTGGCTGTTAAAGTTATTGTGCAGATGTATATGAAACTTTGTCATTGAATAATTCATGTTCATTGATTTAAGATAAAAAGAGAGTTAATACTGTACAGTTAAGATAAATAGATAAAGAGAGATTAACGAGATGAATAAGATTGTATTGAAGAGATGCTACTACTACTGCTCTATGCAGGTTGGTTTTATTGTATGAGTGGATTCTGATGGCGAGCCAGAACCAAGCCCATTGGATCGTGGAGGGTGTGACGTCAGCGAGAGCTTCACTGTGCATTGGAGAGAACATCTCTTCATACAGATAATAAAACATAAAGTCACACTACCCGGGTAGATGAACAATCACACAAACACACTGAAGAAGGACAAACTGTGAATATTGACTTCATTCAGACTTTTTCTGTTTTTGGACTCTTTTGAATTTTCTCTCTGGTCTGTTGATTATTTTGGGCCCATATATTTCATAACTCATACTGTGAAGAGTTTTGTTTTCTACTGAGCGTTATTCAGTGTCATTTTCTGACTTGTTGATAACTTCTGACACAAGAAAGGAATTCAGTCATATCTGAAATATTTTGTTTTGCACTTAAAAGTGGCACTGCTGCCAATAAAGCTATTTGTTACTACTCTTTTCAAACCGTTGTCCTGTTCCATCAATCCTCCTTGAGCGTATCTATTTCTTCTGATAGAATAAGTAAGATAGTAAAATACAAAAAGGTAAAAAGAGCTCTCATTAATATTAATGACAACGTGCTGCTGCTTCAATAAAGACGTAGTGACTTCAGCTCTTAACCTCTGCCAGCTCCACCAGTGGCTCCATCTATACAAACTCATGTTGTGCAGCCAAACACAAAGAAACACCCACAGAAACTGATTGAAGGTTCCACTCAAGATCCTAAAGTTTCCAAAGATACCAAATATGTCAGGATGGATTTTGGGATAAACTCATACAATACTAAATAATCTCAAAGAAAGTGGAAGATTATTCCAGTCAGATGGAGCTTTAAATTAAAATGACCTGCGTCCAACTTCTTGAAAGAAAGAGAAAAGGATATTGCATGTGTCTAATTGGATATGGAGATGTTCATGGGACTGACAACTGTTTCAGATAGGAGGGACATTTAACACAAACACATTTAAAATAACAAATAAATAAATAAAATGACAGGACCTACCCTCTAACCTAAAGTAACACAATAATAATAACAATAATAATAATAATAATAATAATAATAATGATAATAATAATGTTAATAATAATGATAATAAGATATTAATAATGATAATAATAATAATAATAATAATAATGATAAGAATGACATTATTACTTGTTATTGTCTGATAGTTGAAATAGAGATTATTGATTTATTCATTGTATTTGTTGTCAGCATTTCTTTTAAAACACATGATGGGTAATAAAAGATGGAAATAAAGAGTGAATTATCCAGTGTAGATTCTTCTTGTTATATTCAGGTGAAAAATGTGGAGCTCAACATTGCTCTGCTACAGTCAATGGACTAAACCACTGAAGAAGAAAACAGACTTTAGCATTAAGATACTCAGTGTGGATCAGTATAATATCAGCCTTATGTCTGCACTTTACTGTCACCACAACTTTCACATCATATTAATCTCAGCACAGAAGGAAAAAATGGTGTCTGACCTCAGAGTCTCCAGTCTACAGTGTGGACTCTCCACAAGATCAGACAGCAGCTTCACTCCTGAATCCTGCAGCTTGTTCTGACTCAGCTCCAGCACTCTCAGATGGGAGGGGTTGGACTTCAGAGCTGAGACCAGATAATCACAGCTGATCTCTGACAACCTGCAGTCCCACAATCTGAATAAAGAATAAATGTAACACCCATTAGTTACACACACAGTGTAATCCCCAATGTTCACAGTTTAACAATGTGTAGAACTATACAGTCTAGTAGATTTCAGATGTAGTTGTTTAGTTTCCTTGTTTCTTTCTCTGTTTATTTTTCATGCACCGATACAAACCAGAGCTCCACGTGAGAGAGAGCGAGTTTAATAAAGTTGATAACTGACTGTAAAGTTGTTAAAATGACCATTTTGGAGGACTTCTGTACAAGGAAGAGGGTTTTTCTTGTCAAAGCTGACCGTGTGGATATTGATTATTATCCAGTGAAAACTCCGGTCAGTAAATGCTATGAAGGATTAGCGTTGCCGCTCACAGATAATTACTTATTTTATTGAATATGTCTCCACTGTGTATAGTTATGATTCTGTGATAGTGTTTAAAAACCAACCGGAGACAGATAAACATGTTGAGCTGTGTTAATAGCACTAGCACCTGTTATACAGCTAAGAAAGCTGGTTGTTGAGCTCAAACACACACAGCTGTGTGAACTTGAGTTTACAGAAGATAATTCATTTCATTTTCTTGATAAAAACATGATTGAAAGTCATTCATTTCATAATTTGTGTACATTAAGCTGTGATGAGTTAAAAGCATTTAAAGATTTATATATATAATTGTGTGTTGGCTGTTAAAGTTATTGTGCAGCTGTATATGAAACTTTGTCATTGAATAATTCATGTTCATTGATTTAAGATAAAAAGAGAGTTAATACTGTACAGTTAAGATAAATAGATAAAGAGAGATTAACGAGATGAATAAGATTGTATTGAAGAGATGCTACTACTACTGCTCTATGCAGGTTGGTTTTATTGTATGAGTGGATTCTGATGGCGAGCCAGAACCAAGCCCATTGGATCGTGGAGGGTGTGACGTCAGCGAGAGCTTCACTGTGCATTGGAGAGAACATCTCTTCATACAGATAATAAAACATAAAGTCACACTACCCGGGTAGATGAACAATCACACAAACACACTGAAGAAGGACAAACTGTGAATATTGACTTCATTCAGACTTTTTCTGTTTTTGGACTCTTTTGAATTTTCTCTCTGGTCTGTTGATTATTTTGGGCCCATATATTTCATAACTCATACTGTGAAGAGTTTTGTTTTCTACTGAGCGTTATTCAGTGTCATTTTCTGACTTGTTGATAACTTCTGACACAAGAAAGGAATTCAGTCATATCTGAAATATTTTGTTTTGCACTTAAAAGTGGCACTGCTGCCAATAAAGCTATTTGTTACTACTCTTTTCAAACCGTTGTCCTGTTCCATCAATCCTCCTTGAGCGTATCTATTCCTTCTGATAGAATAAGTAAGATAGTAAAATACAAAAAGGTAAAAAGAGCTCTCATTAATATTAATGACAACGTGCTGCTGCTTCAATAAAGACGTAGTGACTTCAGCTCTTAACCTCTGCCAGCTCCACCAGTGGCTCCATCTATACAAACTCATGTTGTGCAGCCAAACACAAAGAAAAACCCACAGAAACTGATTGAAGGTTCCACTCAAGATCCCAAAGTTTCCAAAGATACCAAATATGTCAGGATGGATTTTGGGATAAACTCATACAATACTAAATAATCTCAAAGAAAGTGGAAGATTATTCCAGTCAGATGGAGCTTTAAATTAAAATGACCTGCGTCCAACTTCTTGAAAGAAAGAGAAAAGGATATTGCATGTGTCTAATTGGATATGGAGATGTTCATGGGACTAACAAGTGTTTCAGATAGGAGGGACATTTAACATAAACACATCTAAAATAACAAATAAATAAATAAAATGACAGGACCTACCCTCTAACCTAAAGTAACACAATAATAATAATAATAATAATAATAATAATAATAATAATAATAATAATGATAATAATAATAATAATAATAATGATAAGAATGACATTATTACTTGTTATTGTCTGATAGTTGAAATAGAGATTATTGATTTATTCATTGTATTTGTGTCTTTTAAAACACATGATGGGGAATATAAGATGGAAATAAAGAGTGAATTATTCAGTGTAGATTCTTCTTGTTATATTCAGGTTTTAAATGTGGAGCTCAACATTGATCTGCCACAGTCAATGGACTAAACCACTGAAGAAGAAAACAGACTTTAGCATTAAGATACTCAGTGTGTGTGTGTGTGTGTGTGTGTGTGTGTGTGTGTGTGTGTGTGTGTGTGTGTGTGTGTGTTTGTGTGTGTGTGTGTGTGTGTGTGTGTGTTCTGAAGGATCAATATCAATGATCAGACATTATTTATGAAAACACACTGAAATCAACAGAAACCAAAGAAATATTCCTCCTTCAGTAAACTTGATCAGTTTAAAACAAATATTAGTTCAGAGGATCTTCTGTATCCAGATGTGACCATTTACCAACAATTATAAACATTCATTTACTTTAACAACTAACAGTGGACATTTTCTACAGTTTCTTTAACAAACACAAGTCTTTGTGACTGCAGACTAAATTTAGTTCAACAAACATTAAAATATGAACAAAAGCAACTTTACAACTTTATGGATGTAAGTTATGTATGAACATAAATTAGGTTCAGTTGTTAATTAAACATATCAGATCTACAACAGTAACAGAGAGTCAGTGAACTGACCTCAGAGTCTCCAGTCTACAGTGTGGACTCTCCAGAAAACCACACAGCAGCTTCACTCCTGAATCCTGCAGCTTGTTGTCACTCAGGTCCAGCTCTCTCAGATGGGAGGGGTTGGACTTCAGAGCTGAGACCAGATAATCACAGCTGATCTCTGACAAACTGCAGCTCCTCAATCTGAATAAAGAATAAATGTAACACCCATTAGTTACACACACAGTGTAATCCCCAATGTTCACAGTTTAACAATGTGTAGAACTATACAGTCTAGTAGATTTCAGATGTAGTTGTTTAGTTTCCTTGTTTCTTTCTCTGTTTATTTTTCATGCACCGATACAAACCAGAGCTCCACGTGAGAGAGAGTGAGTTTAATAAAGTTGATAACTGACTGTAAAGTTGTTAAAATGACCATTTTGGAGGACTTCTGTACAAGGAAGAGGGTTTTTCTTGTCAAAGCTGACCGTGTGGATATTGATTATTATCCAGTGAAAACTCCGGTCAGTAAATACTATGAAGGATTAGCGTTGCCGCTCACAGATAATTACTTATTTTACTGAATATGTCTCCACTGTGTATAGTTATGATTCTGTGATAGTGTTTAAAAACCAACCGGAGACAGATAAACATGTTGAGCTGTGTTAATAGCACTAGCACCTGTTATACAGCTAAGAAAGCTGGTTGTTGAGCTCAAACACACACAGCTGTGTGAACTTGAGTTTACAGAAGATAATTCATTTCATTTTCTTGATAAAAACATGATTGAAAGTCATTCATTTCATAATTTGTGTACATTAAGCTGTGATGAGTTAAAAGCATTTAAAGATTTATATATATAATTGTGTGTTGGCTGTTAAAGTTATTGTGCAGCTGTATATGAAACTTTGTCATTGAATAATTCATGTTCATTGATTTAAGATAAAAAGAGAGTTAATACTGTACAGTTAAGATAAATAGATAAAGAGAGATTAACGAGATGAATAAGATTGTATTGAAGAGATGCTACTACTACTGCTCTATGCAGGTTGGTTTTATTGTATGAGTGGATTCTGATGGCGAGCCAGAACCAAGCCCATTGGATCGTGGAGGGTGTGACGTCAGCGAGAGCTTCACTGTGCATTGGAGAGAACATCTCTTCATACAGATAATAAAACATAAAGTCACACTACCCGGGTAGATGAACAATCACACAAACACACTGAAGAAGGACAAACTGTGAATATTGACTTCATTCAGACTTTTTCTGTTTTTGGACTCTTTTGAATTTTCTCTCTGGTCTGTTGATTATTTTGGGCCCATATATTTCATAACTCATACTGTGAAGAGTTTTGTTTTCTACTGAGCGTTATTCAGTGTCATTTTCTGACTTGTTGATAACTTCTGACACAAGAAAGGAATTCAGTCATATCTGAAATATTTTGTTTTGCACTTAAAAGTGGCACTGCTGCCAATAAAGCTATTTGTTACTACTCTTTTCAAACCGTTGTCCTGTTCCATCAATCCTCCTTGAGCGTATCTATTTCTTCTGATAGAATAAGTAAGATAGTAAAATACAAAAAGGTAAAAAGAGCTCTCATTAATATTAATGACAACGTGCTGCTGCTTCAATAAAGACGTAGTGACTTCAGCTCTTAACCTCTGCCAGCTCCACCAGTGGCTCCATCTATACAAACTCATGTTGTGCAGCCAAACACAAAGAAAAACCCACAGAAAGTGATTGAAGGTTCCACTCAAGATCCCAAAGTTTCCAAAGATACCAAATATGTCAGGATGGATTTTGGGATAAACTCATACAATACTAAATAATCTCAAAGAAAGTGGAAGATTATTCCAGTCAGATGGAGCTTTAAATTAAAATGACCTGCGTCCAACTTCTTGAAAGAAAGAGAAAAGGATATTGCATGTGTCTAATTGGATATGGAGATGTTCATGGGACTAACAAGTGTTTCAGATAGGAGGGACATTTAACATAAACACATTTAAAATAACAAATAAATAAATAAAAAGGACAGGACCTACCCTCTAACCTAAAGTAACACAATAATAATAACAATAATAATAATAATAATAATAATAATAATAATAATAATGATAATAATAATGTTAATAATAATGATAATAAGATATTAATAATGATAACAACAATAATAATAATAATACACAATGTTTATAATAATAATGATAAGAATGACATTATTACTTGTTATTGTCTGATAGTTGAAATAGAGATTATTGATTTATTCATTGTATTTGTTGTCAGCATTTCTTTTAAAACACATGATGGGTAATAAAAGATGGAAATAAAGAGTGAATTATCCAGTGTAGATTCTTCTTGTTATATTCAGGTGAAAAATGTGGAGCTCAACATTGCTCTGCTACAGTCAATGGACTAAACCACTGAAGAAGAAAACAGACTTTAGCATTAAGATACTCAGTGTGGATCAGTATAATATCAGCCTTATGTCTGCACTTTACTGTCACCACAACTTTCACATCATATTAATCTCAGCACAGAAGGAAAAAATGGTGTCTGACCTCAGAGTCTCCAGTCTACAGTGTGGACTCTCCACAAGATCACACAGCAGCTTCACTCCTGAATCCTGCAGCTTGTTCTGACTCAGGTCCAGCTCTCTCAGATGGGAGGGGTTGGACTTCAGAGCTGAGACCAGATAATCACAGCTGATCTCTGACAAACTGCAGGCCCTCAATCTGAATAAAGAATAAAAGATGTGAGTTTAGAAGACAATGTTCCTGGTTGAAATCATTCAGTGTTTAATAATCTGTTCAGAGCTGAAGAAGGTTTACAATGTACAAGTTTATAAAATGTGAACAAAAGACATCTACAATATTTCTTTTAGGAATAGTGGAGTCATAAAATCAAAGCATCTTCAGTTTAAACTATTCAGTCAGTATAAACATCATATAGCTTCATAACAATGTTGGAAACAGCAAATACTGAATATATTTGTTATTGTCTGATAGTTGAAATACAGATTATTGATTTACTTATTATAGTCATCATTTTGTCACATGTGACCATTTACCAACAATTATAAACATTCATTTACTTTAACAACTAACTAGGGGTGCACGACAATTATCGGGCCGATACAGGAAATGATTACGTCATACCGATAAGTCCGATATCATGACGAATAGCCCCGATAACATATATAATGGTGTCAGCACAGTGCTCCACTCTCACTATGAGACAGCCATCGCTTCGACAGAGTGTTGAAAGCATATGAGGATGGAGATGATGGCACTTTTCTCGCCTGATTGATCACTTGGAGCCACGGTTTACATTGCCGAGCTGCCGCTACCTTTCTGATGTGTGCCTTCCAGCAGTATGATGCGATCGATATATATATATATATATATATATTTATTTGAACAGTTTCAGTTTGTAATCCCAATGCATGTATTTGCATCAGTTCAAGGGGCCTTTATTGTTTTTTGAGAGGCTTGCCAATATCTCCATTGAAAGAGTCAAAAGTGTTTTTGGGTTTGTTCATAGTATTAATGTCATGATCATATATATATGTATGTGTGTGTGTGTGTGTGTGTGTGTGTGTGTGTGTGTTATCGGTTATCGGTATCGGTTTTAAAAAAAAGTTATCGTGCATCCCTACAACTAACAGTGGACATTTTCTACAGTTTCTTTAACAAACACAAGTCTTTGTGACTGCAGACTAAATTTAGTTCAACAAACATTAAACTATGAACAAAAGCAACTTTACAACTTTATGGATGTAAGTTATGTATGAACATAAATTAGGTTCAGTTGTTAATTAAATGTAGCCCTGGATAAAATACTTTTAGACTTCAAGATGTGGATAATTCATGTAGTCATCAGACAGTAAATAGTTTAAAAAGAGAGGTTTAACATGTATAAATATGGTTAAAAACATGGATATAAATACTGTTTCAAATGTAAATGGAAGGTTAAATATGTGTTTAAATATAAGATGTATAATCTCTACAGTTCAGAGGTCAAAGGATGAAGTTCATGTAGATTAACATAGTTTGTTTTATATGTATCTGTATTACACACTGTATTCAGCCTTACAGCCTAACCTGGTTCATGCATGATATGTCAATCTTTGTGTTTCTTTATTGTAATTGGACTGTTCTGGATTAAACAGCCAACCAAATTACATTCTCAGGTAGAGAGTACTTAGTCGTACCCTGCTAGCTCTGGTGTTTGTGGAGAAAGGCAGAAGCTGATTAGTTATCCTAAGGGTTTGAACTTTTGTGATCAACAAGAGGTAAATATGAGTCTGTGAACTTTTTCCTGTACTGTGACTTATTGTTATAGTGGAACAAACAAGTTGTTACCAGCATGGACTGACTCCAACCCTCTACTGACCTCAGAGTCTCCAGTCTACAGTGTGGACTCTCCAGAAAACCACACAGCAGCTTCACTCCTGAATCCTGCAGCTTGTTGTTACTCAGGTTCAGGTCTCTCAGATGGGAGGGGTTGGACTTCAGAGCTGAGCCCAGATAATCACAGCTGATCTCTGACAACCTGCAGTCCCACAATCTGAATAAAGAATAAAAGATGAAGATAAAATCATTAATAATCCAATCAGATGTGTTCAGGTTTTAAATGTGGAGATCAACATTACTATGTCCTAATCAATGAGCTTTTCTCTAAAATGAGTAGTGACTTTGTCATTGTGTTATTGTGGATCATCATAATGTCAGCACAACATTAATACACCTATTCATGTCAACCCTGATTAACAGCATGCTGCTGATCTCAGTCAGGCCTAGAATACCTGTCAGTGGTCATGATGTTATGGCTGATTGGTGTATATCACTATTCAATTCAATTCTGTTTCTACATCAGCAAGTGAACAATGTGTGGAGGAGGCTCGTTGTTAATGATGTAGCCAATCAAAACCATCAAAACCAACGTGGTAACGAATCTATTGGCACCAGCTGATGTGTTCACTGCTGTTCACTGTTGCTTTATCTGGTCTGCACTGGTTAAAATAAAGACTGTATCTGTACAGAGAGCGTCTGTCTCTGTGTCTCTGCAGGGTGACTGTCAGTAGACTGTACAGGAGGGACAGAGCAAGGGCAGATTGTCACTAGTTTATCCATCACAGATACTTTTACTGAGTGAGAGACACTTTGCTAAAGCAACGGAGCAAAACACAATGTTAGAGAGAAATGTAAAAATATTTTTGGTTCATGATGAAACTATAGGGCGGGGGGGGGTTCAGCCATTTCATTGGAAACTCTGTGTGTGTGTGTGTGTGTGTGTGTTCTGTAGGATCAATATCATTGATCAGACGTTAATAAAAACAAATATTAGTTCAGAGGATCTTCTGTATCCAGATGTGACCATTTACCAACAATGATAAACATTCATTTACTTTAACAACTAACAGTGGACATTTTCTACAGTTTCTTTAACAAACACAAGTCTTTGTGACTGCAGACTAAATTTAATTCAACAAACATTAAAATATGAACAAAAGCAACTTTACAACTTTATGGATTTAAGTTATGTATGAACATAAATTAGGTTCAGTTGTTAATTAAACATATCAGATCTACAACAGTAACAGAGAGTCAGTGAACTGACCTCAGAGTCTCCAGTCTACAGTGTGGACTCTCCAGAAAACCACACAGCAGCTTCACTCCTGAATCCTGCAGCTTGTTGTCACTCAGGTCCAGCTCTCTCAGATGGGAGGGGTTGGACTTCAGAGCTGAGACCAGATAATCACAGCTGATCTCTGACAACCTGCAGCCCCTCAATCTGAATAAAGAATAAATGTAACACCCATTAGTTACACACACAGTGTAATCCCCAATGTTCACAGTTTAACAATGTGTAGAACTATACAGTCTAGTAGATTTCAGATGTAGTTGTTTAGTTTCCTTGTTTCTTTCTCTGTTTATTTTTCATGCACCGATACAAACCAGAGCTCCACGTGAGAGAGAGCGAGTTTAATAAAGTTGATAACTGACTGTAAAGTTGTTAAAATGACCATTTTGGAGGACTTCTGTACAAGGAAGAGGGTTTTTCTTGTCAAAGCTGACCGTGTGGATATTGATTATTATCCAGTGAAAACTCCGGTCAGTAAATGCTATGAAGGATTAGCGTTGCCGCTCACAGATAATTACTTATTTTATTGAATATGTCTCCACTGTGTATAGTTATGATTCTGTGATAGTGTTTAAAAACCAACCGGAGACAGATAAACATGTTGAGCTGTGTTAATAGCACTAGCACCTGTTATACAGCTAAGAAAGCTGGTTGTTGAGCTCAAACACACACAGCTGTGTGAACTTGAGTTTACAGAAGATAATTCATTTCATTTTCTTGATAAAAACATGATTGAAAGTCATTCATTTCATAATTTGTGTACATTAAGCTGTGATGAGTTAAAAGCATTTAAAGATTTATATATATAATTGTGTGTTGGCTGTTAAAGTTATTGTGCAGCTGTGTATGAAACTTTGTCATTGAATAATTCATGTTCATTGATTTAAGATAAAAAGAGAGTTAATACTGTACAGTTAAGATAAATAGATAAAGAGAGATTAACGAGATGAATAAGATTGTATTGAAGAGATGCTACTACTACTGCTCTATGCAGGTTGGTTTTATTGTATGAGTGGATTCTGATGGCGAGCCAGAACCAAGCCCATTGGATCGTGGAGGGTGTGACGTCAGCGAGAGCTTCACTGTGCATTGGAGAGAACATCTCTTCATACAGATAATAAAACATAAAGTCACACTACCCGGGTAGATGAACAATCACACAAACACACTGAAGAAGGACAAACTGTGAATATTGACTTCATTCAGACTTTTTCTGTTTTTGGACTCTTTTGAATTTTCTCTCTGGTCTGTTGATTATTTTGGGCCCATATATTTCATAACTCATACTGTGAAGAGTTTTGTTTTCTACTGAGCGTTATTCAGTGTCATTTTCTGACTTGTTGATAACTTCTGACACAAGAAAGGAATTCAGTCATATCTGAAATATTTTATGTTTTGCACTTAAAGGTGGCACTGCTGCCAATAAAGCTATTTGTTACTACTCTTTTCAAACCGTTGTCCTGTTCCATCAATCCTCCTTGAGCGTATCTATTTCTTCTGATAGAATAAGTAAGATAGTAAAATACAAAGAGTGAAAAAGAGCTCTCATTAATATTAATGACAACGTGCTGCTGCTTCAATAAAGACGTAGTGACTTCAGCTCTTAACCTCTGCCAGCTCCACCAGTGGCTCCATCTATACAAACTCATGTTGTGCAGCCAAACACAAAGAAACACCCACAGAAACTGATTGAAGGTTCCACTCAAGATCCTAAAGTTTACAAAGATACCAAATATGTCAGGATGGATTTTGGGATAAACTCATACAATACTAAATAATCTCAAAGAAAGTGGAAGATTATTCCATTTAACATAAACACATTTAAAATAACAAATTAATAAATAAAATGACAGGACCTACCCTCTAACCTAAAGTAACACAATAATAATAATAATAATAATAATAATAATAATAATAATAATAATAATAATAGCAATAATAATGTTTATAATAATAGCAATAATAATAATAAAATATTAATAATGATAACAATAATAATAATAATAAACTATATTTATAATAATAATGATAAGAATGACATTATTACTTGTTATTGTCTGATAGTTGAAATAGAGATTATTGATTTATTCATTGTATTTATTGTCATCATTTCTTTTAAAACACATGATGGGTAATATAAGATGGAAATAAAGAGTGAATTATTCAGTGTAGATTCTTCTTGTTATATTCAGGTTTTAAATGTGGAGCTCAACATTGCTCTGCCACAGTCAATGGACTAAACCACTGAAGAAGAAAACAGACTTTAGCATTAAGATACTCAGTGTGGATCAGTATAATATCAGCCTTATGTCTGCACTTTACTGTCAGCACAACTTTCACATCAGATTAATCTCAGCACAGAAAGAAAAAATGGTGTCTGACCTCAGAGTCTCCAGTCTACAGTGTGGACTCTCCAGAAAACCACACAGCAGCTTCACTCCTGAATCCTGCCGATTGTAGTTGTAACTCAGGTCCAGCTCTCTCAGATGGGAGGGGTTGGACTTCAGAGCTGAGACCAGATAATCACAGCTGATCTCTGACAAACTGCAGCTCCACAATCTAAATAAAGAATAAAAGATGAAGATAAAAATAATTTATTATCCAATCAGATGTGTTCAGGTTTTAAATGTGGAGATCAACATTACTATGTCCTAATCAATGAACTTTTCTCTAAAATGAGTAGAGTGACTTTGTCATTACAGCTATAACTACAGCTTTATGTATTACCTTTATTAAGACCTTCTTACTGTATGTTGTAGCTTAGTAAGTAAATGTCATTAAAATGACACATCCACATTTGTTCAAGTGTGTCTTAAAACAACAGCCACATGCCATATGTACATTCAAAGAGTTATTGGTGGCAGTAATCATTGTGTAGAGTGAAGAGTGATACACCTTTTGATGTTCAAATGAACAGCTGAACCAGAGAAACTGTGAGTTGGATGAACAGTAGATAAAGTTTAATCTTCATCGAGTTTTCCATAACTTATAAACTCAAAGATTTAATAGTTTGATAAAAAAAAATTTCTCCTGCAGCTCATTTTTAAACCCTCTAACAGGGGAGAGGTGAACACAAATAATTGTGTCGTTAAATGTAACTGGCCACTAACTATTTGATAGTAATAAAGTTTCCATAATTAAAAAGAATGACTTTAAGTATTTCTGTATTTCAGCATTCAGGGGGAAACAAATAAGTGCACAGATAATGAAGTAATAGTGACCGAATGACGACTCAAGAATTACTTTGTGAAGAATTTAAAATGGCATACACTTCCTTTTAGTGAAGCTTTATTAAGTAACGATTTAGAAATGAGTATCACAACATGATTTTATTTTTGGGACAAAAGTCAGGTGAGTAATGGTGACCGTATGTGTGAAGTTTTGATGCAGTAATTATTATTAGGTAATGACGAACACTTCATGTGTCTTTTTCACTCGGTTGTGAATTTATTGGGTAGGTCCATGGCACTTGTGTAGAGCTTAAACATGTCTGATCGTTCTATTATAACCCAACACACACACAATGTTCCAGGCACTGTTATGACTTTATCAAAATACCGTTGGCTCTATTCTCATAGAAATATTTTTGTCCGAAAGGCTGAGTAGATACATGGTCAGAAATGCTCTTTTATGTAAGATGCATCCAGATCATTTGGTCACATATTCATGTATGAACTGTTCATTGACATTCCTAAATTGATGATCTGTTGAATGTGGATTATTCACATTTAGTCAGAGTAACAGGAAACATGAATTCATGACACATCCTGCATTAATCCATGCATTAAATCATCATGACTCATTCGTTTATATATTTTAATATATTGACATATTAGTTAAGCATTAATTCAGTCAATTTTTTTTGAAAGTGTTACCATAATCTCTTTTCCATAGAAAGAGTCAATGAGAGAGAAAGTGGCAGTAGAGTGGACAAAGAAAAGAGAAATAAAACTATTACTGTTCTGGTTGTTTCACATTAGTTACTTTCTAAAGTAACACTTAATAACCATTAAACTGTCAGCAGATGGTCACTGTGGAGATACTAATGTTTTCAGTCTGTGTTTGACCCTCTGCATTTCTGCTTTTCATTAATTCATTGTATCAAACATCAGAGTCACAAAACCATAAATATCAGTAGTATATATATAAATATTGTGTTTCAAACACTACCATTATTTTTTTATCTGTCATGGGTCTAATTAGCCTGTTCTTTAAGGTTCTTCTGATGCAGTGGAAACACACAGAAGGACTTCTACTTTTAGACTCTAGTTTACTTCCTGAGATTAGTTCCTCTGGTTCAGTAGTACCTGGATATTAATGGTTGAAAATCTGAAGTCCTGATGACCAAATTTAATGATTCAGAAGTTTTAACATAAGAGTGTTTACACTGCAAGGAGGCAATAGTTTAGAGAAATATAATATGAAATATATATAATATATGACTTAAGCAAACTAACTTGATCTGACCTAAGAGTTTCCAGTTTACAGTGTGGACTCTTCAATCCAGCAGACACCAGCTTTATTCCTGAGTCCTGCAGGTCGTTGTTACTCAGGTCCAGCTCTCTCAGACTAGAGGACTGGGAGCTGAGAACTGAAGACAGAGCATCACAGCTTCTCTCTGAGAGGTTACAGCCCCTCAGTCTGAAGGGACAATAATAAACATTAAGAGCAATAACATTTGTGATATTAATACAATAATAAAGCAAAACAATCTGTAAGTTTAAAAGATAACGGGGTATTTTAGTAATAATATAGACATCCAACTCTCTGTACTTACAGAGCTTTGTTGGAGGCTTTGACCACTGGCAGCAGCCTCAGAAGAGCCTCCTCTGAACCAGAGTATTTCTTCAGGTCAAACACGTCCAGATCTTTTCCTGATGACAGTAAGATGAAGACCAGAGCTGACCACTGAGCAGGAGACAGTTTATCTGTGGAGAGACGTCCTGAACTCAAGTACTGTTGGATCTCCTCCACTAGAGAATGATCATTCAGTTCATTCAGACAGTGGAACAGATTGATGCTTCTCTCTGCAGAGAGATCTTCCTCCAACTTCTTCTTGATGTACTCCACTGTTTCCTGATTGGTCTGAGAGCTACTTCCAGTCTGTGTCAGCAGGCCTCGCAGGAGATTCTGATTGGTCTCCAGGGAAAGACCCAGGAGGAAGCGGAGGAACAAGTCCAGGTGTCCATTTGGACTCTGTAAAGCCTTGTCCACAGCACTCTGGTGGAGATGTTTGAGATTCTGTTTGTCTTTAAATAATAAAGAAATGAAGAATGTTTGTTCTTCTGCCAGCAGATTGACTCCAGAGCTGATGAATGTCAGATGGACATGAAGAGCAGCGAGAAACTCCTGAACACTCAGATGGACGAAGCAGAAGACCTTGTCCTGGTACAGTCCACTCTCCTCTTTAAAGATCTGTGTGAACACTCCTGAGTACACTGAGGCTGCTCTGACATCGATGCCACACTCTGTCAGGTCTGATTCATAGAAGATCAGGTTGCCTTTCTGCAGCTCCTTAAAAGCCAGTTCTCCCAGAGACTCAATCATCTTCTTGCTCTCTGGACTCCAGTGTGGATCTGTCTCTGCTCCTCCATCATACTTGACGTTCTTCAGTTTGCACTGAACCACCAGGAAGTGGATGAACATCTCAGTCAGGGTCTTGGGCAGCTCTCCTCTCTCTCTGGTCTTTAACACATCCTCCAGAACTGTAGCAGTGATCCAGCAGAAGACTGGGATGTGGCACATGATGTGAAGGCTTCGTGAGGTCTTGATGTGGGAGATGATTATGCTGGCCTGCTCCTCATCTGTGAACCTCTTCCTGAAGTACTCCTCCTTCTGTGGGTCAGTGAACCCTCTGACCTCTGTCACCATGTCAACACACTCAGGAGGGATCTGATTGGCTGCTGCAGGTCGTGTGGTTATCCAGAGGCGAGCAGAGGGAAGCAGTTTCCCCCTGATGAGGTTTGTCAGCAGAACATCCACTGAGGTGGACTCTGTAACATCAGTCAGGATCTCAGTGTTGTTGAAGTCCAGAGGAAGTCGATACTCATCCAGACCGTCAAAGATGAAGACAACCTGGAACTCTTCAAACCTGCAGATTCCTGCTTCTTTGGTTTCACTAAAGAAGTGATGAACAAGTTCGACCAAGCTGAACCTTTTCTCTTTCAGCACATTCAGCTCTCTGAAAGTGAATGGAAATGTGAACTCTATGTCCTGGTTGGCTTTGTCTTCAGCCCAGTCCAAAGTGAACTTCTGTGTTAAGACTGTTTTCCCAATGCCAGCCACTCCCTTTGTCATCACTGTTCTGATTGGTTCATCTCTTCCAGGTGAGGGTTTAAAGATGTCTTCTTGTCTCATTGTTGTTTCTGGTCTGTCTGGTTTCCTGGATGCTGTTTCAATCTGTCTGACCTCATGTTCATCATTGACCTCTGCAGTCCCTCCCTCTGTGATGTAGAGCTCTGTGTAGATCTGGTTCAGAAGGGTTTGGTTTCCTTCTTTAGCAATCCCCTCAAACACACACTGGAACTTCTTCTTCAGGTTAGATTTAAGTCCACGCTGACAAACTCCAACAAGATGTTCTTAATGAAGACACAGAAAATATGATCATTAAGTGATTGATAAATAAAATATTTCATTCCCCTAAAGCAGAAAAATGTTCAGCTCAGATAGAAAATATCTATTTTGTTTGTCCCTGAGACCAAAAGTTATGGTGCTAACTTACTGCCACCAGTCATTTCAATGAGGGTAAGTGGTTGTTGCCCACATCCAAGCACACATCCTCTGCCGCATTTCAGTGTGTTAAACTGCTGGTGGCACACACCTGGAGGCAGCCGCTATTTAATGCATGTTTTCTGTGAACCCTCGTGCAGACAGGTTGCGGTCTGAAACCTTCCTTTAAAAAATATTATATATATATATATTATATTTACATTTATAAACTACTGAAACAGAAGTTAGCAACACATCAGCCAGAAGAAAAGGAGTGGTCTCTCTTTGTATATTTAAATAAAATATGATTATTTTTGAAATTTTTAATACAATAAATTATCAAGGCGTTCTTATGCATTTTAATTTGTGAGTTGTGACCAATTTTGGATTTAAAGAATGAGTATGAGAATATATTTTGGTGGGTCTGTTGAGACATCAGTAAATGTCTCATTTATCCAGCGAGTTCAATCTTTAGAGAAATCCTCTTACTGCTCTGCAGACGGTCAGCCAGCTCCTCCTGCTTCATTCTCCTCAGGAAGAGCACTGTGATCTTCAGAAATGCCTCTCTGCTGCTCCTCCTCTGCTCCTCATCCTCACCGTCCAACACCTCCTCATCCTCCCTCTGAATCTCCAAGCATTCTGGGTAATCTGAACTCAGAACCTTCTGGATCTTCTTCAGCTCGTTCTTCACAAAAGTGACAATGTTGTCCTCCAGCAGCTTGAACAGAATATTATATGAATGACTCAATCAAAGTCAAATCATGGAAGCAAACATCAGATCCATGTTGGACAGACTGACAATCCACTGGTCTAAAAAGTGCAGCATGGAGATTATTGTGAACACAGTAGAT